TTTGGCTGCCCGTGTTGACTGACATTGAGTAAATTGTCTCTGAATAAGATGAAAATGTAAATCTTTTTCTGAAGAAAATAGCAATATAAAAAACCTCTGTGTTTCTTTTTTTCTTTTAAATTGCAGTTTGCAGAAACACCATCCTAAATCACATTTTTTCCCCTGCCTGTCATGAAAGTATCCATTAACTTGGTCCTCATGTCAGAATCTTAATCCAGTCCAAACTGACTATATAAATTGACCACCAAACAGGAAGCCTGCTGTTTTTTAAAAACTTAGCCAAGACTCTGTCCTTATGTCATATCATCAAGATATTCCATCTATGGTGGAATCGCAGTTCCGCCACTTTTTTCAACTTTGTATTACATTCCTCAAATGGTGTAATGACCCCGCATATACCCATAACCAGTGTCATCCGTTATGAACTCATGGTCTATCTTGTTTCATCTATACCCTCACCCACCTCCCCCTTTCCCATATTTTGTCATAGCAAAGCCCAGACATCGTAATGTTTCATCCACAAATATTTCAGCATTATCCCTAAAAGATAAAGACTTCTTTTTAAAATACATGACTATAAGACAATTGTCACAGTAAAAGTAATTAATTATAATTTCCGTGACATAAATCTTCAGTTAATTCTGAAATTTCTAAACTATTCATAGATACTGTATAATGGATTTTACACTATTTTGCATCCATCTATTACTCAGGCTCTGTGACAAAAGTTTTGTTTCTAAATCTAGATGCCACTGCAGAAAAGGTGTGTTTCGGGCAGCCTGAGTGGCTCAGCGGTTTAGCACCGCCTTCAGCCCAGGGCCTGATCCTGGAGACCCGGGATCGAGTCCCACGTCGGGCTCCCTGCATGGGGCCTGCTTCTCCCTCTGCCTGTGTCTCTGCCTTTCTCTCTCTCTCTCTCTCTCATTAATAAATAAAATCTTAAAAAGAAAAGAAAAGGTGTGCTTCACTCATGTGGGATAACTCCAGAACATTTACCCCAATCTTACCAAGTCAGTAGAAATCTTCTGCCAATGGCAGGGAAATTGGGATCCCGGGAGAGCACATCAGATCTGTTTTTCTTGAAAGTGACTCCGCATACCAAGGAAAAGCCTTCCAGCCAGCAGATAGATAGGCAGAGCCAGTTTAAGGCTTCCCAGAGTTCTGAAACGAATCACCACATAAATGAGGGCAAACTTATTCTCATTTCTGAGCACTCTTTGGAAATGTCCATATCCTTTATAGTCATGTAAATAACTGTCATACAAAGTAAAAATGGGATTGTAGATGTTGAAGGAAGTGCTATGGGCACACACAGAAAAGAAACGTAACAGGGGGAATGAGAGGGAGCTCCATGGAAATGGAGGAACATAATTTGAGGGGAAGATTCAATCATTCAACAGCTCTTTACTGTATGCCTGCCCTCTCTGGACCTTGACATTGTCTCATGGTAGACGCAGTCAAATCTGTTTTCAAATTCTGCATCAAACCCTCACCATGCGGCAGAAGAAGGAAGGGTAGGAAGAGGACCTAAGAAGTAAGGATTATTGCAGGATGGGAAAATAATTATACTCAAGTAAAATAATTGTTCAGAGGCTCTGAAGGCCCAGCTACAGTTCCCTCCTACCCTGAGGCCACAGATTGATTTCGTTCGTCTACTTTCAGGTATTTGGCCAGAGAGGATAGATAGAAGCTTTCCAAATCAGCTCAATTTCTATGGTTAGTGGCTTTGCTAAATGGGAAGAACTAGAATAGTGAATTGGAATTTCTTAATTGACCTAAAGTTATCCATATTTGATGTTTGATGGAGTGAAGGGGGATAGAGGGAGGGTAGGGCACATAAAGAAAATCAGTTTAAATGTGAGATTCACCACTGAGGAATAGGATGATAGTTTTTCTTCTCCAATGGGAAATGAGTTATTGAATTTGAGAACAATTTCTCTAGGAGAAAAACCCCCTCCACTCTCTCCCATACCCTACCTTATTATTTGGCTTTTGCAAGCACACCCACAATATAGGATTATAAATTCAGTTTATATCTCCCTTAGCCCAGTCTCCCTTTATTACCCCGCTTTACTGCTTCTTTGGGGCTGAGACTTTAAAATTTGGGTCAAATGTTCCATTAAGTTAACCACTTTAGAATACCAATAACATTCCTGCAGCACTTTTCATCTTCATAGCAGATCACAAACATCTCCTTCTCCACTAATGAAGATGAGTTGAGTATCTATAGTATCTAAAACCAAAGCTATTTAATCATTGTCTGATGTGAAAAAGTAAGACAAAATGCAAGACCAACAAAAAAAAAGTATATTACATTTTAAACTTGCTGATTCGAGCTTTTTAAAAATTCTTTGAACATGCAGGAAGAACTTCTGCCACAAAATCCCAGCTTTTGTAATGAAAAGACAAAATAAGAATAGAAGCAACATCTTAGGGGTGGTTTTAGCCCTTCCTATCTTTAAGGATGTATTTAAAATACATTATTCCATTTGATCGTCATGAAAACCAGTGAGAAGAAAAGGAACTGCTATCCTCACATTTCAGACAAGGTTTCTTGTGATTAATTACCTGTTTGGCTTTTGAGTTACTAAATATTTGTGCTGAGACTGGAACTCCAAACTTCAGGTGCCAAGTCAAAGGCTGCTGGGGAAGGAAGGACGGAGGCGTTGAGGGGGAGTGTATGTTTGCCTTGCTCTTTCAACTAGAGCAACTCCATTGGCCTGTTACATTTGGGGCTTCCATGCAGATTTCCACATTTTGATTTCATTAGAATCTCATCACAGAGTATGCAGCATCTCCTCTATTGTTCATGACCCTGTTGGATCATGAGCTGCATTCTAAAATTACATTGAACAGGATTGCAAAGCTCCTCCTTCCTTGAACAGGATTGCAAACATCTCCTCCTGAGAGGTTGCAGTTACATGCTATAATGTTTCCCCTTTGCGTGGCTCCCATCATTCATTCATCTTTTTTAAGATATTAATTAATTAATTAATTAATTAATTTATGAGACAGAGAGAGAGAGAGAGAGGTAGAGACACAGGCAGAGGGAGAAGCAGGCTCCATGCAGGGAGCCCGACGTGAGACTTGATCCCAGGACTCCAGTATCACGCCCTGGGCCGAAGGCAGGCACTAAACTGCTGAGCCACCCAGGGATCCCTCATTCATTCATCTTTAACACTGTTAATTAGCTGTTCTGGCCAATGGAGCTGACTGATGGTCTGTGTATGCACCAACTCTCTCTCTCTTGACTTTTTTTTCTTCTATACAAGTCATACTAGTCATGTTTTCTTGTTTACTACTGGTCACTTTCACCTTTCTGGGTCTCTTTGACGCATCAGCACACACACACACACACACACAGAACTGTGAGCTTCTTGTGTCTAACGTAGGATGCCTAGTGTCTAACGTAGGACGTGAACTCAGGATTGTTGAAGACACAAACGCTGGTTATTTCTCTTCCTTATTCCTTCTCTTTTTCCACAAACTCTTCCATTCCTTTAGGAGAGACTCTTTGTATATCTTCCTCTGTCTTCTATCTCACTATCTCTTTAGTCTTTCTGTGAGCATAAAATAATCACCCATTGCTGACAAGGATAAAGCCAGTTGCTCTGTATCTAAAAAGAAATTGAAGCCATTCCTTGTGAAGGAAATTAAGCAAGACAAATATCTAGTACCAAGTGACTACATTTTTAAAAGTGCCTTTAGGTCTAGAGTCATCAGAGTCTTCAGATGTTCATCTATAATTGCTTCCTTTTTTTTTTATAAGCACCCCTTGAAAACTCTTTTCTCCTTTTTATCTTTCAAATTTCAGCTCAACTGTCATTTCCTGCAAATCCTTTACTGACATCCTGAAGCGGACTCCATCACCTCTTCTGGAATCTCCCAAAGAAATCTGGACTCTCCTTTACTGTAGTACTTCATACATTATGTTCAATGCAATTAATTCTTTGTGTCTATGCCTCACACTAAAATAAAGAATTTTTTTTTGTTTGTTTTGTTTTGTCCTTTTATCCCTAGCAGCTACTATACCGACTAGCCTGGTATGCAGATATAGGTGCACGATTTTGTTGTTGTTGTTGAAGTTGATTTAGATAAATGAACACTTTGGCTTCAAGAAAAAAAGGTTCATTCTTACTCAATTTTTATTCTGTTTTTGGAATCGGATTGCTTTCTACTATTCACTGATATTTGAGGTGTATTTTTTAGCTGTCCTGTGAGTTATATAGATTTGATGACAAACGAGCATCTTAACATAGAAATTGTTTCTATGGAAAAATATGGTTCATTTTCCAATATGTTCAAGCATACACAAAAGAACAGAACTTCATCCAGAACTAGATGGTCTTTCCCTTTTCCTTAATGTCTGCCTAATTCCTACCCCCAGAGTTTCACCCCATATGGAATTTCTCTCCACTCTCCTGTGGTTTGCAGTTTGGCTTTCTGTTATGTACCTTGCCTTGAATCCATCATTTATGTATTTTCTCTGTCAAATCTGTTTCTCAGAGGATAAGCACAATGCATTTTTCATTGTTGATTTTTCACAATGGGGTTTCAAAGCACAGTATACAGAGTAAGTGCTCAGTAAATGATGGTCTAAATTTTTCTCTGAGCAGTTAAAAAAAAGCTCAATAATTGAAAGTAGAGGAATATTGGCATTTGACTGAAATATTCGGGGCTTGATTGAATATTGGGGATATTTCAGTCCCAGGTTGAATAGTGCCTAGCTCCCTATCATTTGCCATCTGAGCTTCAAATGTCCAAATTCCAATCTTCATGGGCTCTTTTCCCTTACTTTTTCATCTTCTATTGTTTGCTTCAAAGATGAAAGGAAGAGAAATGAGATAGTTCTGCTAAGAAAGCATTCTTCTTCATCTTTCTTGTTCTTATGTGGCGCTTCTTTATGAGATGTCAGTTGTGCAATGCTCTAAAGACCTGTCTTCCAAGAACAAAATGTTCTAGTAATTCTGGTATTAAAAAATGTTGTTTTCTGCTTTTAGGGTACAGTGGTGGCTGTGTTGTCATGCGAGGAAGGAGTCCACCTGGTCGCTGGGAAGTGAAGGACTGCAGACATTTTAAGGCAATGTCCCTGTGTAAGCAACCAGTGAGAAAACAGGAGAAAACGGAGCAGGAAGAGAGATGGCCCTTTCACCCCTGCTATTTGGACTGGGAATCAGAGCCTGGCTTGGCCAGCTGCTTCAAGGTGATGCCAAGGGTACCTAGGCATTCTCAGTGGAACCAACATTATTTCAGTTTTGTTCATGTTTCCCAAATTCCTTTACTCCAGACCAGTGCCTAGCACACAGCAGGTACTTAATATTTATTGGCTGTATCTATCTTTTCAGTTATATTCCAAAATAAGTTTAAGTCAAAAGACTGACATATCTCTGATAATACTGAAGTCCTCTTCTTGAAGATTGGTATCAAGGCCCTAGTCAATACGGTTCTGACTGCATAGTCCCAAATGAACAAGGCAGATGCTCACTGGGTATTGAAATGGTACAATTCCATATCATTTGTATGATAATGAATAAGTCTCTATTATGGAAGAACACCATTATGCTGCTAAAAATAGCTTTTGCAGCTTGACAGACACCTGAAGATCAAACAAATTAATAGATACAGTTGATATATATGTGTGTGTGTGTATATATATGTCTGTGTGTGTGTGAAAATTGTGTGAAGAAACGTCTTTTTGCAAATCAGCTTTAGATCCTAGATGTAAATCAGTATCTACAATATTCTTGTCATGAAACATCTAAGAATGCATTCAGTTTAATGTACACATGTATAATCCTACATCAAATTCATCAGATAACAGTGACCTCACAAAGGAATAAGTTGAACCTTAGAAATTAGCAAACGGAGGCAGCCAGATGAAGTGATTTGCCCAAGATCACAATTATTTATTGACAGAGTTGGAACAAATGCCTGATCTTAGGGGTCCCAGTCCAGTGCTTTTTCCACTACAAATTACTCGGACATGTCAACAAATGTGTGGTGTGGTTTGATGGGCATGGTGCTAGGATTGATGAATTTTAAGTATTCAAGAAAAAGTTCCCAGAGGAGGTGAGTTTTGGCATATAATTTTAAAGATGGAAAGGCTGCGCTGTGTCCCACAGGACCAGGAAACCGATTCATTCTGGTCTCAGCAAATCAGAGTCTGGTGAAGCCTGGCCGCAGGATGCCTGCCTGGCATTACAGACTCTGGCACAATGTCAGGCAGATAAAAATGAGGAGTGCACAGAGGCCTCGGGTCTGGAGTTCTGTATTTGTGGACCTTCACCTTTGGTCTTAAATAAAATCAGAAGTACATCTCCATTTGACTGATGTCTTTCTGCTTCTGTGAGGACAGCTGAGAAACAACAGAGAATTTAGGCACAGCTAAGACCCAAAGACCTTAGTAATATATCTGCCCTGGTCCCGGGTCTCATTTCTCATTTCCAGCTATAGGTTAGCCAGATTCATGATCATTCAGCCAATTCTAACTTGTCAGAAGGTAATCTGGTGGGATAGAAATTCATGGGCTCTTGAAGCAAGGACTTCTGGATCTAATCCTAGCTTTGCCTATTTGTAGTTGTTTGACCAGAAATTTGTAACCTCTCTTAGCCTGACTCTCCACATCTCTTAATAAACATTTATTAAGGGACAAGTATATGTCAGTTACAGGATATTTAGAAGAAGAAAAAAGAGTCCTCAAGGAGTTTATTTATAAAACTGAGCTCATTATATCCTCCTCGTGAATTTGTTGTGAGAATAAAATGAGAAAATAGTTTTACGATGATTAGACACATCCTAGTTCAATAAATGTTATTTCTCCCTACTAGGTCAAGCTTTTAATATAGAATAATGACAATTGTATTACTGTTATTTTCTTGTCCAGAATTAAATCGCCTCACCTTATCCATAATAGTGTCAACTTTCTTTTTCCTCCTACTAAACCAGGTATTTCATAGTGAAAAAGTCCTAATGAAAAGAACGTGGAGAGAAGCAGAAGCATTTTGTGAAGAATTTGGAGCTCACCTTGCAAGCTTTGCTCATATTGAGGAAGAGAATTTTGTGAATGAACTTTTACATTCAAAATTTAATAGGTAAATATTTGTTAATTTTGAAAAAATGCAATCAAATATTCTGTTTCCCAGTAATAACTTATTAGGGATGAGTATCCCAAATATTTGTTTAAAATCTCAAGAATTTGTTTTAAGCCTAAAACCAATTAGCCATTAATTGTGAAAGAAAAATTTATTCATATAGTTTTATATTTATATTGCACCAAGTTCTTATTCTATAAAACAAAGAACAAAGTAATGGTTGTTTTGATATTTGAAATCTTTTCTGTGTATCTCAAGTCAGAATTTTAGAGCCTTTCCAGAAAACTCTAATTATCTAACCCCATGATATTCAAAGTGTTGTCTGACGATCCCGAGAGTCCTAGAACCCCAAGATTAGGAGATCAAGTGGGCTGAGGTCCTAGTTTCATCACTGACTCACCAGAGCAGCTCCCACCAGGTCTACTTCTAGTTATTTGTATATAACGAGTCCATGTAAGATTTTGTTTGAAAAAAAAAAATCCCACTGATTGAAAAAAACATTCCAAACCAACATCCGAACTTTACATTTGAGGAAAGAGGCATTCACTTGTTGGTATCCATCTTATAAGTTTACAGAATCTTGAATTACATGGAATTAGAAGATCAATTTAAATTTGAAGAAATGAGAAAAGCTTGTGCTACCTTTTACCCAATGTAAAAATTCTTTCCAGTATATTACTGTGGTCATCTACTATCCGCACAATTCCTTTCAGAGTGATCCTTATTTGGGAGAAAGTCCATTCCATTGTTGGAGGCTGGTTTCAAAGATCAAATTTCTAGTAAGCCAGAGCAATACAGATCAAGTTGATTATATTTTTGAACATTTGAAGACAGCCATTATGTTCTCTTTTAGTGAGTCTTCTCATCCATTGGCCTCTTTTTGTAATATGTTCTTGTCAGCTAGCATACATTTTTGGAGTATCTTCTATGGGAGGGGTACTTTTAAATGATTAGCTGGTTGGAGAATGCAATAGACAAGACAGACAAAATCCTGCCCCCGAGAAGGCAGTATGAATCCAATGGCTCCATACATTTATTAAATAAAAACAAATGTAACATCAGGTACTATGCTCCAAGCTCTGGAAATCTGGAGTCTCAATGAAACACTTGCTTAAATTACAGAAAAAATCCAAAACTAGTTTTTTGGGAAAATCCTAGCCTTCCCCATAGGTTACCTTTAGGACACTCCAAACAATGATTAATATGTAGCATCTATCAAATTATTCATCTCCTGCATCTATAGTAATGTTCTTAATGGTTGGAGCCATTGAAATCATCTCCCAATGTACTCTCATAGAGTACTGTTGGGGGAAAAGAGTCAAATATTATTTGCAAAACAAGGCAGAAACTTGGAAATTTACCATATGCATTAGCATTGTAAAGGCTTCTAGAAGGAAGCATTTTCTTCTACCACAAACCTCTTTTTTTGAGAACACTTATCAACATCCCATGGAAATTCTAGCCCCTGTGAGAAATCCTGACCTAAAACCACGTTTCCCAAATCTGGCTGATTCTCACACTCACTTGGACACGTTTTGACACAGAGCCCTCTGGTCTCACACCAGAACTGCTGAGTCAGATTCTCTGAACCTGTGCTCGCTTTGGCAGCACATATACTAAAATCAGATTCTCTCTCTCTCTTTTAATTTATTATTTTTTATTCTTTTATATAAATTTTATTTTTTATTGGTGTTCCATTTGCCGACATATAGAATAACACCCAGTGCTCATCCCATCAAGTGCCCCCCTCAGTGCCCGTCACCCAGTCACCCCCACCCGCCGCCCATCTCCCCTTCCACCACCCCTAGTTCGTTTCCCAGAGTTAGGAGTCTCTCATGTTCTGTCTCCCTTTCTGATAAAATCAGATTCTCTGAGACTGAAGAAAAGTTCAAGAAGCTTCCTGACTAAGTGGACCACAGTCTGGTATGGGGCCACAGATTCAAGGGATGCAGGATAGTCTCCATTGTTCTAAGTTGTAACTTTGCTTCGTGACTTAAGCTCTTTGCAAAACATCCTTTCATATTTGAGTATAGGGAGGTTTGCTATATGAAATAACCACGTGCAAACTGCATCCAAATTTGTTGTAAGATCAAATATCATTATGTCTATTTATATAAGTTCTCACTTGAAATTTCTTGTAGAACTTAATGAAAGCGTCTACCAAATTATTAATCTTTAGCACTTAATCACAAAAGCTGTATAATATTACTTTGCACCAAGACTGCCAGGGAGTTTAACAAAATCTCATGCTTGATTATAGCAAATTAACCAGTTCTCATAGTAGCATGCATGCTTCTCCTTGTTATGGCACTGCTTTTTTATTTCTGTATTATTACTTATTATATTATTAAAAATGATACAATTATAGGAAATTGATGAAGAAAAAATTAATGCCAGTTCATCATCTAGGAGTCAGTACATATCAGGAAAAATGTAGAACTCTGAATTCAATGAGTAAAGGAATAAAAAGTTCTTAAGGCAGGAGAGTGATATGAATTCCCAGCCTGGGTCATTGATGTGAAGGTACCTGGCTTAACCTTAAGGCAGCATCCTCCCCCTCCACAACCTTGTAAATTGTAAATTGTAATCATGGCAGTCATCAGCCAGGCCCCAGTGATCTCATGGATTTCTAAGTCACATTTTACTTTCATTTGTATTATTCAAGCAAAATAGCTCACATATCTGAGAAAGGGATGCTTCAGAATAGGCTTGCTTCACTGCACTAACGAAAATAAAGCATCTGTCATGACTTCTGAATCTTTTAAATCTTTAATTCTCCAAATTATTCTCAGAATATTATCTTAGTGAGATGGTTCGTTGTACAATTAGACTTTATTGGTTGATTTATTGAGTACTCTGTGGTTTGATGTATTTGTCCTCCGCCTAATAGGAGGAAAGATGATTCTCTGTGGGGCTTCTCGCCAAGTCTAACCCAGTGGTGAATGCTGAAGTTAATCTACTGTGCCTCAGACTGATTTGCTATGAAATTATGTTGGGATCTGAAAAAACAAAAAGCAAACTCTGCTGTGTACCTTTTATTAAAGGGTGTGGTGGGTAATTAACCTTCAAAGAATACATGAACATTTGACCAAAAAGCAACAAATCAAAGCATAGGAAAGTAGTAAATATATAGCAAAGTAGTAAAAAGTCCTCTAGGGAAAAGATGTTCCAAAATTTCTTACCAACTTGCTTTCGTGTGTTCTTATATGATTGAAAAGTGCTGCCATCCCTTATAAACATGAGAAAATAGTGTTCTGAATATGGTTCACTTCTCCCCCAACTGCATGTCATCAAAGAGCACACCATACAAGCCCAGAGTAATAGGAAGCCATAGCTCAGATTTTGCATACAGAAAACATTCAGTAAATGTTCATTGACTTGATCGATCCTGCCAGGAGTATCAGCTGTTTCCTGTGCACATAAATACTTTAAAATATTACTTGAACCAAAAAAAAATATTACTTGAACCTTTTACATTATGTTGTGAATTGAGTAGGAAGAGCCAAGTTTTTGTTTTTTCACAGGACAGAAGAAAGGCAGTTCTGGATTGGATTTAATAAAAGAAACCCACTGAATGCTGGCTCTTGGGAGTGGTCTGATGGGACTCCTGTAAGTTTTTCCAAACTGAAGAAAAGGAAATGAATTCAAAACAGGTGACCCTGGAACACTTTGGTAAACCAACCAAGGGAACCTGGAAATAATGGCCATATTTCCTGTGACTCAGACCCAGATAAAAACTGCACCAGATCCTGGTACCATAGGAGTTATTTCTGCAAAGTCCCGGGAAACCTTTGCTAGCTACATAGTTTTGAGGCCAGCTATAGGATCTCATCCTGGAAATAAATAAAAATCTCCAACCCCCCTCCCAAACTATCTCTCCATGTAAAGAGTCTTGAGAAAGAAGCAACTGTTGTTTAAAATAATATTAGGCTTTCTTTACTCCACCTTCCCTCTCTAGCTTGGCACCTAATTATATGAATGTGGGACCCTTGTCCAGATCACAATGAAAAGAACCATTTCAGTTTATCTCTAAAAGAAATGCCAGCCTTAGAAACACCATCTCCTTCTCAACCAGAGCAAGTTATCTAGAAGGAAAAAAATTTACTATTCTTTCAGCCTCATACTTGTAAAAAACTCTGTGAAGGAAAAAAGGAATTCACTATTACTTCTTTTTTCAGGTGCAATGAGGAATTCTCATATTTTCCTTAAGATGATAAGGAAAAAATGGAAGCTGTATCCCAGATTGAAATGAGATCTATCTGAGGGCACATGCAAAATCAAATTATTCAGTTATACCTGTGAAATAGGAGGCTAACATAAGCCTGCAGTGAGCACTTAATGCAGCTCTTATTTACTGAGCCCGAATTATATTCTTACCATTGGTTGAATGCACTGCTGCATGATCTCATTTCACCCTTATAATGATTCATTGCAGTGGTTATTAGTATGCTTAAATAGTTTGCCTAAAATAATGCATAACAGAACCAGAATTTGTACACAGGTTGTCTGCCTCCAAAGCCATGATGTTATAATGTCTTCTTGTTGGCAAAATATCATCAGCCTAACTTTGAAATAGTAAAGATCAATAGAAAAGAACAATCTCTAGCCCCACTAGAAAAAAAATTTGCAGTAAGGAAAGGATCTGTGGAAATCTATATGTGGAAAACAAAAATAATAAGGACATGCTAGTTAAACATGTAACACACACACACACACACACACACACACACACACACAAATAGTGCTGCGTCTCTGAGAAGGGTATCAGGACCAGAGAGTAAGAAGATACCTTAGAGATCACCTGCCGCATCCATTTTGCTATCAGATAAACTGAGGCCCAGCGAGTGGAAGGATCTTAGCAGACTCCACCTGCTACATAAATGACAGTCAATATGGCACCTGGAAAACGAAGTGTGGTATGTAGAGGCTGAGAATGCTTCCTTTTGTTTTAGTAAAACAATCTCATTAGTAATAGAGAGGAATAGACTATTTGGTTCAGCATAAATGAGATAAACCCATGAAGCAGTGCATGGAGTTCCTCACCACCACTCCCTACTTGGACAAAACAAATGTTCAAACTCACACTATGGTCTGAATACATATGAGCTTATGTATTTTTACGTTAGGTGAGTTGTTGTATGATTGTGTACATGTTTGAGGAGGCGTATAAATGTTTCAAACATCCTCTTTTTTCCAAATTTTTACTCCAGTTTCACCTGTGGTCCATCCACTTTTCTGTCAGGTAGCCATTAAATCATTGATAAGATTGAATTTTTATTAATATCCCTCTTGCATGACCATTCATGGAAAGCGTTGGATAGTTTTCCAATTAAAGCTAGTGAAAACTTAAAATTTAGTGATTAAAGACTAAAATCTCGGGATCCCTGGTTGGCGCAGCGGTTTGGCGCCTGCCTTTGGTCCAGGGCGCGATCCTGGAGACCCGGGATCAAATCCCACATCGGGCTCCCAGTGCATGGAGCCTGCTTCTCCCTCTGCCTATGTCTCTGCCTCTCTCTCTCTCTCTCTGCGGGACTATCATAAATAAATTAAAATTAAAATTAAAAAAAAAAAGACTAAAATCTCAGGGTATATGCAAAAGCATCTACATCACAGATGAGACCCAAATCTAACAGATCAGAGCCTTTCAGAAGTTTGCCCAAGGTCCCAGGGCTAGCCTATTGTGGCCAGTAAGAAAACAGTACAAGTTCAGAAGGAACCGTGCTTCTGATTTATTCCTTCTGGAGAAAGGAGTAGCTTGCCTCCTTTTAAGAAAAAAAAAACAAAACATCTTTAAGGAAAAATGTTAGTTTCGTTAGCTTGTTCTTCACAAATATGGAACAACCTTTAATTGCAATCTTATCCAGACATTTCTTAAGCTTCCTCCAAGTCTACTGTGGTTTATTTACAGAGATGCCTGTTTTGATCTTTTGAAACTTTTTGTGGGGGATCATCGTTAAGAAATAATGAACTTCATCTGCTGCAGGTTGTCTCTTCATTTTTAGACAATACTTATTTTGGAGAAGATGCAAGAAATTGTGCTGTTTATAAGGCAAATAAAACATTGCTACCCTTACACTGCAGTTCCAAACGTGAATGGATATGCAAAATTCCAAGAGGTAAAAACATAAGATTTTTACTATATGCTTACTTTCTAATAATCTACAGAATTTTTCCAAGTGAAGAGTTACAGAAATCTAAAATTTAAACACCTGACGAACCAGTACCAACAACCATCATGACGAACCAAACCGTAGTACTTCAGCAAAGAATGCCCCATGGGGGAATGAGAAAAAAGTGACACCAGGGCAGTACGCTAAGTTAGTTAATAGGAAATGAGGGTAACCAACTATATTGTGGAATACGGTATTTTTCAAGTACTATCTGGAAGAAATGTCACTGTGACATTACAAGCAACCAAAATTATTTGTCAAATGAATAGGTGAAAGCACCTAACCTAGTGTGTGACGCACAGTAGGCCCTTGACAAGTGTTCACATCCTTTCTTCTTTGATCAGAGGCCTCTCTTGAGCCTCCTCTTCAAGTGTGAGAGCCAACCATACTTCAAACAGGACAAAGTACCTACTTTTTAAATGGTATTTTAAAAGGCAAAGTACAAAATACTGTGTTTAGAGCTGAAGTAATTCAGAGATGGTACACTTGTGAAGAAAGTTCACTCAAGGTTGTCTGCTTTTACTTTGCAGATGTGAGACCCAAGATTCCACCCTGGTACCAGTATGGTAAGAACTCTCCTGGCAGTTCTTGAATATCTAATTACATGCCATTATATACCATTCGTGTATTATTACTGTCTTCCAATTGAGCTTCTCTTTTCTTATGTCAATCTAGAACTAATTAAAAATCAAATTAATAAAAAGTATTTAAATGATTAAAGGTTAATATTCTAACAACACTATTTTCATGACATGTGAATTTAAAATATGTATATATCCCAGACCTCGCAATACAAATGAAGTTTTCTTAGATGAGATAAACCAAGGAAAATAAGCAAATTATATACTTAGTTATATGTATGTAAACATATTTATGTATATGGCACACACACACATACTTTTTTTTAATGCTAAGTGACTAAATTACAATTGTGGGGTAAATTATAGTATATCCTATTTAAATTGCATTATATCAGTCAATGGCTTTTGCATCATTTGCATTGGTTTTCAGTGTTTTTTGTTGTTGTTGTTGTTGTTTTTCAGATGCACCTTGGCTCTTTTATCAAGATGCTGAGTATCTTTTTCACACCTATGCTGCAGAATGGCCCTCCTTTGAGTTTGTTTGTGTCTGGCTACGTGGTGATATTCTCACAATTCATTCTGCACATGAACAAGAATTTATCCACAGCAAAATAAGAGTGGTATTTGAATACAATTAACCATGAGAAATTCAGAGCTTAGCTCCTTCTTCTGTCTTTGGGGGGATTTTTTTTAAAATTTGACTTCAGACATTTATTTAAGTTTCATTTAAAGCCATGTATTTTTGAGAATTGATCGTCTTCCTGTTATAGGGATTAAGAGAAAATAACGGAAACACAAGTTTACCGTGTTGGTCAATCATTTCACTATTGTCATTCTTTATTAGCAACAGTTATGAGTAAGCAGAGTTTTATTATTTTAGTGAGGCTCATTCAATCATTCAATATCTATTTATTCAGTCTACCCTTCTAAGGGCTGGGGCTTTATCAGTGATTAAAATAGACCAAAATTCCTGCCCTCATGGGTCTTATACTCTAGTCTGGGAAGAAAGACTGTAATCAATATAAGTATGTACATTACATAATATTTTAGAAAAAGATAAATAGATAAATGCCATGGAGGAAAATAAAGCGCGAATGAGGGACAAAGTGTACCTGAACAGTGTGTGTGGGGGTGTGTATGTGTGTGTGTGTGTACATGGCTGTTTTAAAATTTTGAATTTTACTTACAAGAATATAATACTTTTAAGTCTATAAAGACTCAATATTCAGAAAATAAGGAGTGGTTTTCCATTTCAACTTAAGTTAAAGACTTGGGCAATCTTTGAGGAGCTAGGCTAATTGGAGAGAAAGCATGCAAAACCTGTTAAATAATGAAGCAGACTGCCAAAGAATAGTGTACACTTTCAGTGTATTTTTCAACAAGCATTTATTGAGCATTAGGTATGTGTCAGGCATTGTGATATTTTTCAAAGTCATAAAAATGTCAAGAACACAAAAATGAGATATAGTCTCTGTTTTTAAAAAGCTAGAAATAATAGTAAGTGAAAAGGGAGCAATATGTACAAATTATCAAGGGAACACTAAGAGGGAGAAACTTATTCTGAATTTTTACTAGGAAATCTTTGAAAGTAAGAAAAAAAACTTTTACTATTATTTCATGATCGCCAGGAATCCTTTCTTGAGCTATCATCTTTTCATATATTTGTAAGTTGATTGTTAAAATGAAGCTCTATATTTAAAACATCTTGGCATGTAAGAGAAATGTCTTCTCTTACAGCTCATGGAGCTTTTCCATTTCTATAATCCTATTTGATGCATAGACACCCTGCAAGGTACAGGTAGGTCAGGGCTATTACTGAGTTGTAATGGAAAAAGCTGAAAAACAGAGGGATTAGGTGACAACCCCATGGTCCCACAGAGACTCAGTGAAGACTAACCACAAGAATGAGATATTCCCCACTACTGGTTTGTGTACTGTTTTACCACCCTTTCTCTCCTACAAATAGAACACTCAAGCCAAATCCATGTTAAGCATCAACATGTCAGAAAAATACATTTATTTCTTTAACAAGACAACAGACTCCTGGTGGCAATAACAAGATATCAGATCAATTGTCTGAAAACCAATCCATCCATCGACATGACAAAGTGCATGTCTCAATTGGAACTGATATTTAGCCAATACTTATTGTAACCGTATCAGGCACTGTGCTAAGTACTACTATTTAATGCCATTTAATCTTTCCAAGGACTGTCTGTGGGAAGTCTATTATTAGGACATTTTACAATTGAGGAAGCTAAAACTCCAAAGAGGTGAAGCAACTTGGTTACTTAAACAGCAGCTAAGTGATGGAATCTGGAAGTGAACCCAGGTCATCTCACTTGCAGAGTCATTTAAAACCCTTCTGCTGGCAGTAGAACAGCAGCTCTGTCTCACGTATGAGCAATAAAAGACTTCTTTGATCTTTCCAACAGGGCTTAGGTCTCCTAGGAATATCTCTCTTCACCTTTCCCTGAATTCACTCTCCCAATTATTAGTGGTTAGGAAGCCAGTGGGGATGGCAGAGTTAATACCTCCCGAAGAAGGAAATAGTAAAACCCATGTGTTTAGCTGTTTAAGAAGCCATACCTAGTGCCATCCATGATACTAGTTGAGGACTAGATCTAGTTGTTTTTTTTTTCTTTTATTTATTATTTATGATAGTCACACAGAGAGAGAGAGAGAGACGCAGAGACATAGGCAGAGGGAGAAGCAGGCTCCATGCACCAGGAGCCCAACGTGGGATTCGATCCCGGGTCTCCAGGATCACGCCCTGGGCCAAAGGCAGGCGCCAAACCGCTGCGCCACCCAGGGATCCCTAGATCTAGTTGTGATGTCAAACCAGGTGAACCTTGTGGTGTCTTACATGGCAAAATTGTTACCCAGCCTGTGGCCATGTTGATACAGAATGCCTTGTCAGTATGATGAGCGGGCAGCTGACTGAGCTAACATCCCACTATGCTACAAAAGAAAATTACTGGACGATTTAAAATGTGTAGATGAAAAAGGGACAAGGGAGCTAAGGGAAAGGGTATCAATTTAGAAAGAAGAAAGCTCTAAGTTTCCAAAGCAGTTCTTATTATCGCATAATCTATGGCTGTGTTATGCACTCTTTGGTGGTGGTAGTAGTGATATTTATAGTGACCGTTTTCACTTCACCAGTAAGAAATTCCATATCTATGAATGTCCTACTAGAATGAGTCAGTCCAGAAGTTATTTTATTCCACGATGAGTAACTAAACATGTAGAGATCATAAAATTCACTTTTGTGGCACTCTCGTCCTATAAATGCAGGAAGAATCAGAATAGTTATTAAATATAATTTTTAGAGATTTTATTCATTTATTCATGAGAAACAAAGAGTGAGAGTAACAGAGACATAAGAAGAGAGAGAAGCAGGCTCCGTGCTGGGAGCTTGATCCAGGACTCAATCGCAGGACCTGGGATCTCAACCTAAGCCAAAGGCAGATGCTCAACCACTGAGCCACCCAGGTGGCCCAGTAATTAAATATTTTTGATATTACATATCTGTTGTATAGTTTCCCTATAAAGAGTAGTAACTCAGAAATGTGAAAAACAAAAATAACATTTAGTTGGGAAGTAAAAGAACTATTGAAAAAGAAAGCTGGATGAAATTTTAAAAATCTGAAGCAGATTTTTTTTAAACAAAGTGTTTCTATCTTGGAAAAGTGGTTAGTCAGTATTTTCTCCTTGAATAACAGAATACCACAGGCATGATGAGAGTGAATTTTTGAGTACTTCTTTTTTAAGCCATCTTGTTGGCTAGATTAATGCCCAAAAAGTAAAAAGCCATAAGCACTTTAGGAGTTCTTATTTAACATGAACTACTACCCAATTAATCCACTTGGCTAACATTCCTATACTGTGTTGTGCAATATTTGCATTTCAAAATTGCAATTTACTTTTATTTTTATAATTTCATGTCTAAATACTTCTAACAAAAATATATTAAAGCTATGAGTCATCCTCCAAAATATGGTGTTTTAACCCTTAAAATAATATGGTTTTGATATGACAGGTTACTCTTCCTTGTATTACTTCATAGATCAATGACTTCATAAATTATATAGGATATTGCTATATCTTATTTTCTGTAAGTATTTTTCCCATGTGATTCTATCTATAATGACTATAACAAAGTGTGGTTGATGTTTTGAAATCTGTGGTCATATTACATTTCTTTATTTGAGAGAATATTAATAAGTCTTCTATTTTTGTGGTTTGATACCTAAACTAAAAGTTACAACATCTATTTTTCACCATGGATTTTTCACTTGAGATATCATCTAGCTCATCCTTCTAGCTTGTGGTTCTATTCTGTATCACAACAGGTTGTGATGTGCCATATGGAGGATCACCATGATATAATTGAGGTGGCAATAAATATGTCACTTAAGATGTAGTTATAATTTCTCTTTAGAGGTCCTTAATTGGGGCAGTGAATGATCAGGCCATGATTTCCACTATTGTTGCACATGAGACCTCTTTAGATTGAATGAAATTGTTGTGGTTCTCCCACTGAGTTCACAGCCAGTCTCAATGGATCCATTCTAAAGCCTGACAATAGGAATCTAAATTCAGCATGTAAGAACATGTCCATGAAATAACACCTCAGGGATCCCAAATTATAGTTGTTCCATCTTGCATTATTCTCAAATTGCTGATATGGCAGACAGCCACACTATTCAAGGAATAAAAATACCTGTTTATAAATTAAAATGTTAGAGAACTCTTAGGTTCTATTGTATGATGACCCAAAATTCATATGGAAAAAATATATATCTTAACGTGTATTTCCAATTTTTACAGAAGAAATGAAGTGCAAATTTAAATACACAGTGCTTTCAAATTAACAAATTTTTAGCTTAAAAATTAAGTTACATTTCACACACACAGCATACACATAAAGTATATTGATTTAGAGGTCTTAGGGAAATCCTTACTGCTTCTTCCTCTTTTATAGTTAAAGAGGGAATTTCAATTTCCTGGGTCATAAGTCCAGCATTACATCTGCTGTAATGTATGTGTGTGTGCATGCACACATGCATGAACATGCTGTTTCATTTTATACTTTATTGTACTGATATCTGTATGATAAATAATGGTACAAAATTAGCAAAATGCAAAAATGATTTTCTGGTTGTTAAACACTGGTAGTTTTGTAGTATTCCTTTGTCCTACATTGTGTCTATTTAAATGGGAAGGTGCTAATACTGTTTAAAAGCTTAACAATCAGACTAATGCCAAAAATTCAAAATCTTTTTTCTATTGATGTCTTTGTGCTTTGAATTGTTTTTCAAACAGAGTGACTTACGCAGTGAACTATAAATCACTGAGATGATAAACCACTAAATCTTTAATCAAAAAAAGGAGTCTGCATCCTATTTTACTTTACAATATTATTTTGTAAAGCTCTATTATGAGAGTTAGAAAATTTACTTTTAAATACATAGGGAAAGTTGTAAGAAAGATTTTCAATAGTTGATTCTAATTTCCCTCCATAATGAGAAGGGAATATTTTTAAATAATGGTTTCAGGTTCTCTGAAGATGCTAGGCCTTAGTGTACTCTTCTTTAGATAATTGGGTAAAATAGTGAAGAATAGAAAGCTATTAACAGCAACCCCATTAATCTTAATACTGAAAAGGGAAAACAAGTAGAATAAATGCTGACATATTCTTTTTTTTTTTTAATAGCTATCAAAGTATGGTGTAAATTGGTGGATTGGACTTCGAGAAGAAAGAGCCAATGATGAATTTCGGTGTGGACCTAGATCAATTTGCATTTTATTTTGTTTGACAGGTTTTATTTGCAGAATGATTGAACTAGATCTTAGTGATCAATTTGTTAAATAGGCTTCAAACATTGTCTTTAATTTATAAATTTCCATTTTTCTAACTAAAGACCTGAGTATCTTTTTAATTTAATAAAAATTACCCCAGAACTCCAAGAATGGTGTTGGAGATTGAACATATGAAATAAAAGAAGACCCTAAAATTCTTAATTTACCTACAGCTGGAAAGATGGAGCACCAGTAATATACCAGAACTGGGACAAGAGAGGAGAAGGATCTATGAGTAATCAGAGCCAGAGATGTGGCTTCATTTCATCTATAACAGGTTATTATATTTATCCATTTTGGGGTTTATAATACAAACTGATAATTTTCAGAAGGCTAATGTCTCCTTTACATTGCATTAGTTCAGTGAGAAAGTTTTGTTTGGCTGGCTTGCTTTTTTTAGTTGAATATGTTGAGTTTCATTAGTCTTAAGGATGGCCATTCCTATAGTTAGTTAATTCCATGCATTCATGTTCTTGAAAATGAATTACAACCATAGAAGTCATCCCTCAAGAACCAAAACAGCACCAGAAATAGACCCAATGAATCTGGTCAAAAATATGCCTGACAAATACTACTCTCTAAAAAATTTCAATATGGGCCCATTTTTAAACTCTCTTCTTAATATTCAGTTTATAATTGGCCAGAACTTTTAAACCCTGTGAAATTTACTTCCACTTTCCCATTTTTTAAAGATTATTATTGATTCATGAGACACACAGAGACAGAGGTGGAGACATAGGCAGAGGGAGAAGCAGGCTTTCCGCAGGAAGCCCGATGCGGGACTTGATCCCAGGATCCCGGGATCACACCCGAGCCCAAGGCAGATCTCAACTGCTGAGCCACCCAGGCATCCCTTCACTTTTCCATGTAAGAAAAATTTTCATTGAATTCAGTATTTTTTAAATACCTGGCATTAACTGCTTCTCGCCATAAAACATCAACGATCTCCAAACTGTTTGAGAAATACAGTTTACCCTTTAAGATGGGTTTTTAAAATTTAATTCAATTCATCAAATACAGTGTTATTTGGGTTGACTGTCCACTCATATCCATCCCACTCTTTATATCCTATAAAAGGTAATTATGTTCCTAATACTTAACAGATTCATAAGGAACCTATGCCCCAAATCAGAAGAAGGATAAACATAGAAAGCAATCCTTGGTGTGAGGGTATTTGCAGAGAAAGGAAAGGAAAAACCACGTTGTTAATCAGCTCTCTCTTGCCAGCAGGTGTCACAACAGCCTACAGAAAGCCTGTTTTGTGATTCTGGAAGACTAGCAGCTATTCTGCATTGAAAATAGCATTCTTTTTTTTTAAAAAAAAAAAAAGGCATTCTAGCCCCTCCTTCAAAATGCCAACATTTTTTGGCTTATATCCCTCACACTAGAAAACTGAAACTGCCTTTGCAATTTACACGCATCCTTGCACTATTCTGGGATTTATAACTTGAATGCTAATGAAATGCATTCTATAACCTTTACTCTGAAAAATATAGCTCTTCTAAATTAAAATACATTTTCCAGGAGGCTAAGGACTTTGGGATATATCTTCCCGAGGGCATGTCTATGTGTGCCTGTTTTTTTAAGGGTCAGTGTTGAAAGTGCTTCTTTCTTAGAAGTTACTGAGTTAATTTTTCAAGATTACATATTTTCTAAAAAATTATAAATTAGAAATGATCTATTGTTTTAGAATCTTTTTTCTCTTTATACTGAAGCTGAATATTTTAAAACAAAAATATGAGTCTACATTTTTTTATTAACCAAACCAAATATTATAAGAACTTTAATCAGTTTTGTGATTTCAATTGTAGTATTTTAATTAGTTGGGGTTTGGGTTTTTTTTTTTTTTCTGGTTTTGTTTTTGTTTTTCTGCATTTGCAAAATTTCTACATTCTTGAGTTAGAATTACTGATTTGGTACCCTGCCCAGTTTGCTCTGGTCACCAGAGAACTCTACAATTACCAGTTTAGTTCAATTTCTAGATTTTAAAAAAACTATGATAAATCATTAGCAGTCATAAAAATGTGATAGAGAATGCCTACAAAGAGTTTCCATTGTTTCAGGTCATGTCTAACCCATTTACTCCTCCAGGACTCTGGGCTAGTGAAGAGTGTTCAGTTTCTTTGCCTGGCATCTGTAAGCGAAAGAAGATTTGGGTCATAGAAAAAGAGAAAGATACCCCAAAACAACATGGAACATGTCCCAAAGGATGGTTATATTTTAACTATAAGGTAAACTCATTTTCAAAAAGCTGCCTTTGTTGCTGTTTTGTAGATGTTTATTTTAGAACAAAGTCAAACAGTAGGTATGGCTTTGAAAAACCAGAATTGGGACCAGGAATTTTATTGTCACTACTTTCAAGAGATTTCAGTTTTCAATGTATGGGCAAACCTCTTGGAATAAACAGCCTTGGCATCACCCTTCATTTGTATACTCAGTTTTTGCTATTGACACAGTCATTCATTGTGCCGTGTGACTGTTTCATTAGGCGTGATGCATGCGAGCGTGTGTAACTAGGCCCTGCCCTCAAATGAGCTGTCAACTGCAGAGGGTACAGACTCCATCTTCTCCTTCTTTTGTGTCTTCCCTGCCTGGAGCAGACATAGAGCTCCGCCCGCCTTGTGAATTGACCCACTAATAACATAACTCAGTCAATGTCATCTTGAGCCTCATAAAGCTGGTGCTTCTATGCAGAATTGAAATTTTTTTTTTAAATTGCCAGTGGGGATATTGTAAACCAGATTTATTATTTCTGATACTGCCTCCAATTAAGACCCTCCACTCTTTATGTTTCATAATGAAATAACTTTATAGGCCTTAGGTGGAAGTAATTAAAATGCATCCCAAATTATAAATGTTTCATTCTTTGATAATGGAAAAACCCAAACTGTGTCATAATTTAATATGTTCATATGAAATTGCTCTTTAATTGTGGACAGCCAGTTATCAGTCTGTATGTTCAGTTATATTTGGCAGAGCCTTCTCTTTTTTGTGATCATCTCATTGTTAATTTGTGATATGAGGCCATTTGGATTTTTTACATGTATTTGTTGAGCACCTACTACATATGTGGCATTGATTTTTTTAATTGTGGTAAAAATTCACATAATATGGAATTTACCATCTTAACCATTTTTAAGTGCATAGTGCAATAGTGTTAAGTATATTCACATTGTTAGGAAATGAATCTGCTGATCTTTTTTATCTTATAAAACTGAAACCCTAAATCCAAAAAAGAACAACCCCTCGTTTCCTCTCCTCCAACCCCTGGTAACCACCATTCTACTTTCTGTTTCTATTAATTTGACTACTTCAGATACTGCGGATAAGTGGAATCATACATTATTTGTCCTTTTGTGACTAGTTTATTTCACTAAGCAGATTGTCCCCCAAGTTAATCCATGTTAAAAGCATGTGTCAGAATTTCCTTCCTTTTTGAGACTGAATAATATTCCATTATATGTATATACCGTATTTTGTTTTTCCACTCACCCAGTGATGAACATTTGAGTTTCTTGCACCTTGTGGCCAAGAGTTTTTGCTGGGTAATTATATATATCACTTTATTGAATTTTTTAAATGCACAGAACTGTTATGCCATCTTATATCTGAGAAGAGCAAGACTAGTCACATTGTGTGCTTTTTCTGAAACTTAATAGCAAATAAATGTCAAGTTGAGAATCAACCTCAGGTTTTCTGACCTTCAGTCCGGTAGTGTTTGTCTCTTTCCTGTAGTTGCCACTTCATATAAGAATTTAAGGATTACCAGGCCAATTTAGCCCCATGACACAATCTAGTGGCACTGTGAGATATCTTCTAAAATATAGTGGTTTTCTAAGACTTTATATGGTATGGAGGTACATTTTTAATAGTTAATATTTTCTCTCTGATTCCTATTTCCCCATACTTTAAAATCTACCAGTTATACGTTTCAATATAAAAAACATAACAAGTAAAAAAAAAAACATAACAAGTATTTAGAAGAACACTGAGTATTACTAAGTCTTGAATTAAAACCTTTGACAATTCTTTTTTAAGCTATTCTACTGAGGTAAAATATATTTAAAATAAAACATGCCATTTTAACCATTTTTAAGTATACAATTCAGTGGAATTAATTACATTCACAATGTTGTTCAGCCATCCCCTTTATTTCCAGAGCTTATCATCCCAAACAGAAACTCTGTAACTATTAAACAACGACCCACTATTCCCCATCCCTCCAGCCCATGGTGAATTATTTCCTGTCTCTGTGAATTTGCCTGTCTAGATAGTTCATATAAGTGGATTAACACAATATTTGTCCTTTTGTTTCTGGCTTATTTCACTCTGCATAATGTTTTCAAAGTTTATCCATATTACAGCATGTATCAGAACTTCATCCTTCTTATGACTGAATAATATTCCATACCACATTTTGTTTTTTCCATTCATCTGTTGATAGACTTGGGTTGTTTCCACTTTTTTGGTTATTGTAAATAAATCTGCAGTGAATATTGGCATACAGGTATCTTCTGGAGTTCCTGTTTTCCCTTCATTTGGGTATATGCCTAAGAATGGAATTACTACATCATATACCAATTCTATGTTTAACTTTTTGAGGAACCAGTAAACTGTTTTTCACATGGCTGAACCATTTTACAAGCCTACCAGCAGTATATGCTAGCAATTTCTCCACATTTTTTATATTTTATTTATTTATTTGAGAGAGAGAGAGAGAGAGAGAGAGTACAAACAGGGGAAGAGGCAGAGGAAGAAGCAGACTTCTCACTGAGCTGGGAGCCCAACACAGGGCTCGATCCTAGGACCCCAGGGTCACAACCTGAGCCAAAGGCCACTCAGGTCCCCTTCTCCACATTTAACAACATAGGTTATTATCTGTATTTTTAATTATTTCCATCCTAGTGCCTGTCTAGTGTTATCTCATTCTGGTTTGATTTACATTTCCCTAATGGCTAATTTTCTCATGTGCTTATTGGCCATCTATAGACTATCTTTGGAATACTATTTATTCAAGTCCTTTGCCCAGTTTTATTTGGGTTATTTGTCTTTTTATTGTTGAGTTGCCGGAGTTCTTTATATATTCTAAATATTAAGCTCCTATCAGATACATGTTTTCTCCCATTCCATAGGTTGCCTTTTCTAATGTCCTTTGATGTATAAAAGTTTTAATTTTAATGAAATCCAATTTATCTCATTATTCTTTTGTTATTCATGCTTTTGGTGCCATATCTAAGAACAGGTAGCCAAACCAAGGACATAAAAATTTACTTCTTATGTTTCTTCTAAAAGGTTTAGAGTTTTAGCTCTTATATTAAAGTTTGGTCTATTTCTTAGTTAATTTTTGTACTTTGCAACTATTAAAACAGGCGCATCCTGGAGTGCTCTGTATAGAACAGCCACAGAGGAATACCTATGTTGTCTCAAAATCACACTTTTGATGCAGACAGTGAGCGACCCCAAGTATGAATACAACTGTTCGTTACTAATCATAATTACTCTCATGTATAAAAGAGGATATTTTAAGGAAATTAACAGCATATCAAATCCTTGGTATTAGAGAAATAATTCTTAAAAATTTTCAATGGTTGCTTTTGATTTAGGCCTTAGCTATTACCCTCTCCCCAAACTTCTTTATCTGCACAACTTAACTCCAGTCCATGTTCAGTCCTGTGTAAACATACTGACTGTGTGTGTATAGAGGCCTGGGAGCAGTGATGGTGGAGCGGATTCAGGGCAAGAGAGCAAATGAATGCCTCCTCTGAAACGAATAGAAAGGGGTATGAGTAAAGCACAAACACATACCCAAGGGGAGAAAGGTGTTCTGAAGCAGGATTGGAGCAGGATTAAAACATACTGTGTAGTTCAAAAATTTTAAAAATCTTTATTGATAGCTAGCAGCTAGATTAGTGGTTCACAGCCCTGATCAAATATTTAGAATCACCATGTGAGCTTTTTAAAAATGTCAAGATGCAGGAGACATCCTAAAGATTCTGATTTAATTGATCTGCATTAGATCTACATTCCAGTTGTTTTTTAAAAGGTCCCTCAGTTATTCTAATATGCAGCCAATATTTGCCCAGCAATGCAGCAGTTGCACAATTTAGTCTTTGAATCGTTCAGAGTATTTGACTAATATATACTGTCACAGCAGGCCACCTGAAAAAGATGATCTTTCACAGAGTGAGATTACAGGGGGTCTCCAAGTGTCCCCACCTATCACACCTTCCCTTGCATAGAAATGGTTAAAATCCCACCCTTGGAGTCTCACTCCTTTGCCTTGACTCTATTTTTTTAAGGGAAATATTTCTGAGATTTGCCTCATCTGTCATCTATACCTTGGAATAAGTGGGCTTATCCACTTATAAGTGGAATAAATGGCTTATCAGATCATTAGAAAAACTGGTAATAGAAGTATTGATAATGGAGAGGAGGAGAGCCCCGTGGGGATGGCTCCCCTGATTAACAAAGTTACAGAGGAAAACTGGGAGGTAGCCATGACAGACATTATTCACGTCACAGTTCTGAATGAGCATCAGTATGTTATGTCCCACTAAATTTTGCTTCTTGTTTGTCAATTTCCTAGGGCTAATTTTTTTCTAAGAAGAAACCTATTTGGTTGACTAATTATCCACCTTTAAGAGTTTTAAAACTGAGATACCAGAAGTTAAGCATCTTTTCTAAATGTTTCATAAATTATTTCTTTTGCGTTTGATGATATATGAGTCCTGACCTGGGACAACCCCTAGAAGAGTGAGTCATCTAAGATACCTGTCACAGCAGGGCTGGAGGCAGAAAAAATTCTAAGTGTGCATATGGTTATGTGTTATTAGGTTAACTCTTATGCTTTACTCATACATTTTTATACAAGGATCTCGATTGAGTGCTAATGACTGCTTTGTACATCTAGTTTGGGATTAGCCAAAATTTGATTTCATGCACAACATAGTTTTTCCTTTAAAAAACACTCTCTTCTTTTCTAGAAAACAAAAAGAAGTATCCATATTATTAACACTTTATTCATTCATTCATTTAATGTTGGACATTGGTAATTTGATGGTGAGGAAAAACAAACATAATCCCTTCTGTTTGGTAGCTTTCAGAATAGAGAGGGAACAAACATTAGTCATCAATCAGGAGTATAACTACTTTATAACTGTGACATGTGTGATGAAAGGGAGATACACGGTTCTCTAAAAGCATATAATAGGAGAACCTGGATGAAGTGGTCAGAAAGACAGGAAGCATAAAAAGCAGGGGGTACAGGATGTGCTAAGGTCCTGTGGTGAGAGGGAATATGGTCTATCAAAGAAACTAAAGGAAGCATAAAGAGTGTGAAAGTGAGATGTGTGAAAAGTGTGGAAAGAGTGTGAAAAGTGAGACGAAAAAGAGTTTCTGGTTTTTATCCTAAGAACAATAGGAAACTCCTCAAGAGTTTTAACCAAAGAAGGATATGATCAGGACTGAGTTTTTAACAGAATCATTCATGCTACAATGGCAAAGACAGACTGGAGGAAGGCAAGGATGAGGAAGGTTTGAAGACTGGTTGAGAAGCTATTATAAAAGTCCAAGCAAGAGAGAAGTAGTTTGGGCCAAGGTAGTGAAGGCAGAGCCTGTGAGGTGGCAGGAATGGAAAGAATGGTGCTCTCCACTCTGAGAAATGGGATGTCTAAATAGTCATTGAAAAGGGGATGGAGTGGGAAGGTGAGGAGACTCCCAGCTTTCAGGCTTATATAAATACATGGCTGACTTTCAACATCAGTAAGAACACTGGAAAAGAACCAAGTTTGGGGGAAAGGTCATAAATTCCATTTTCCAATTTTGAGCCGGAAATGACTTTGAGACAAAAAAAGAATTTTTATGCAAAACTCATTTGTAATACAGTAGGATATCCTTAATTCACAGCAACAGTAAGAGAGGCATTAAACTTGATCACATTTTGCAAATTAGTAAGTAAATAAACAATTTAAGATTAAGAGTGCTATACTTCATCTTGCTGCTTTGCTTTAATTACTAATGACACCATTCTCAACTATACCAGTAAATATGTTTTTGGGTTTTTTTTTTTAGAAACAATGAAGTTGTGGTAATGGGAAATAGTTAAGCTAGTAAACCTTGGCTGAGACAAATGTGGGGGAAGGGGGAGTAGGAGGGTGTGATGGGGGGGCATATGTGTGTGTTTTCTGGAAAGATTTATTGAGCTAACTAAACCAGTGAGGTTCATTGGTATTTACAAATGGTTCATTAGTGACTATCTGAACACAAGGTGAATTCACATTAAATGATAAGACTGCCTAATAATTAGTGTGTGCCACTCCTTGGAATTTGTAATTAGAGAAAAGAGACAAAATGAAAGGAAATAGATAAAAGAATAGTTGTTATAAAATTAAAATCCTTTAAAGCCAATTCTGTTTCTTTGTGAAGCAAACAAGTCAAAGAGGACCAGAAGAATTGAAAATGTACTTCCTCTCTTAATTGGTAAATCAACTTCAGGCTACATTAGGATTTCTGGTTTTGTTCTAAAAACAGTGGACAATCCCTACTTGTTATTTATTTAACTTACTTACTTACTTATACTTACTTATTGAAAATCCCTAGTAGTTTTAAACTAAAGAGTGACATGACCAGGATTAATGTTTCTAAAAAGAATTACCTGGGCACTAATTGACATTTGGCGCTGGATAATTCTTTGTTATGGGGGGATTGACCTATGCGTTATAGAATGTTTGGCAGCATCCTTGTACCCTACTCACCAACAGCAAAGCTCCCACCTTGAGCTGTGACAACCAAAAATGTCTCCAGACATTACTGAATACTCCCCTTTGAGGATCATTGGACTAAATCTAGAATGCCCAAGAATGTCATTTGACAACTATTTAGGAGTCTATTGGCTTTTACTATGTTCCATAAATATTTACTGGGGACCTTCTTTGTTGTGATGTTCAAAGAAGAGCAACACTTAGCCTCTCTGCTTTTTAAGATGACTGTGGGGAAGGGTTGGGGGACTGACAAATATAGAAATTAAAGGATGAGGAAAGATGTCATTCCAAAGGAGGATAGGGAAGGATGCTCTCTCAAGTGTAGGTTTCCACACTAGCTTAGAATTATCTTGTAACTGAGTTTTCTCAGAGGCAAAATCTTGAGATCTAACCTATCAATGACTAGGTTTCCCTGTGGTCATTGAGAAAAATATTCCACATGGAACATCCTTTGCATACAGTCTCTCCTGACTTCTCCTAATCCACTATAGCCTTTCTTTTCTATCTCTCCCTCTCCTCTGACTCCACCTGGCCTTATTGATATGTTTAAATTTCACTGAGCTTTGGTGGGAAGGGGGGGTCACGTCTAAACCCCACCTGACCTGTCCAGTCGTTACTGTTCCATTTCTCACCGCATAATGACTAACCCTGCTATGCCACAGACATTATTTTCTCATGAGTAACAATCAGCTTTCACTGCCAAATTCCACAGCCTTCTTTTTGTGTTCCATTACTGGCCTCCCTCCCTTCTGTTTCTCCTTCTTAGGTTTCCTTGGTTCTCCCTTGCTTCTCTTCCAGTTGGGCTCATTTTTTTCTTTTCCGGCTTTTCCTCATTGACTTACAAACCACATAGCTAACTCAAGTAATCAGTGAATTTAAATACCTGATGTGGTTGGATTCTCCAGTATTCCTCTCTCACTTAAAGTGAGGAAGTGTATTTGTAAATAAAATTGAACTAAACTATTAATTGCTACCTACAGAATTTTTAACAGTTAAATCTACCACTATACACTTTGCAATCAGGTGGGCTCCTTTTTAAAGAGAATATTACTTTTCACTGAGCAGAAGACTTTGTTCTGATATCCTGCATAACAAAACACATCCTTGCTTCAGTTCCTGCCTGATACAAATGCATGCAAGATAATGACTTGCCCTAAAAGCTGGTCCTCTGTTTTACTTTCATACCTTTGGAGCAGCTCAAAGAAAAAATTAGTCATTTATGCTTCAGAAAATTATAAAGAATTCTAAAGGTTGATCCTCAGTGTCTTTGGGAGGTTTTTAATTCATTTTGAAAAATATGGAAATGAATGGGTTTTTTTGGACATTTTTTAAAAGTGCCTTTTGATGAAAATCCCCAAAGACCCAAGTGATTGGAAGAACTGGACATCCGCTCAAGATTTCTGTGTTGAAGAAGGCGGGACGCTAGTTGCCATTGAAAATGAGGTGGAGCAAGGTAGAGTACTCAACATTTCAATCAGCCAAAAATAACCATTCTTATTCAAATATTTATTACAATGTTCCCCCCAAATACTAACATTTCTAAACCCACATTTTAAGTATTATATTGCTGATGACACATAAAATTTCAGTTTGACCTACAAGGTTTATATCATGACATCTGTAAAAGTTAGTGCATTGCATTGCTTATAAACTGCTGATTTTTGGAGTCTTGTCTCCCTAGTAGTAGTGGAAAAAATAAGAACATATTTATGATCTTTATTTCAACATGACTAAAACAATTGGAGGTAAATTCTTTTATAATTGCATGGTTATCAGTTTTAAATCCCTTTAGATTTACCTGTACACTTGTATCTGATATTTAGGCAGTTGTATACTTCAGTTTAAGTATAGGAGATAAATCCTCTTTTGTTTAGAAAGGCATTGAATGAACACTGGAAATTGCTTTGTTAATGATATGACGAAATCCCAGGTTTAGCCAGCTAATGTCTGTCAATTTATACTGAAACAAAAGTGAAAGAGACTGCATTACCTTAATAAGAACAGAGTAACAAATTCCTACAATTGATAGATAATTAAGTTTTGCTGTCATTTAAATAAAATCATAGCTATAAATAGAATTTGATGATTACCCAAATGGTTTATATGGTATTAAATTTAATAATATATTCCTATTTTTCAGCTTTCATTACTATGAATCTTTTTGGCCAGACCACTAATGTGTGGATAGGGTTACAAAATGATAATTATGAAAAATGGCTAAATGGAAAGCCTTTGGCATACTCTAACTGGTCTCCATTTGATGTAATAAATGTAAGTTTTCAGATTTATTTTTTAGAAATCATTTTAGCAAGAGATCCTATTTAATACTTACTTATTAAACTGTTTTTTGCTCCCTATACTTTATAAGCATAAATTTTTATTAGTCTGTTATTAATATACTAATTTTCAATAATGTAACTACATATCATTTTCATGTGTTCCATTAATGTAATTACTATCACAACAAGTATTTATTTTGTAGGTTATGAAGTGATCTGTGAACAGGTTTATTAAATGCAAATACAGGAATAATAGTGTTTGAATTTTTTAAATTGTCATTAATAAAAATGTCAGTGTTATAATAATGCTATATGTTACCCTTTTTTAAAAAAAACATGTATCTTTTTAAAGATTCCAAGTCATAACACCACTGAAGCTCAAAAACATATTCCTCTCTGTGCTTTGCTATCAAGTAATCCTAATTTTCATTTCACTGGAAAATGGTATTTTGAAGACTGTGGAAAAGAAGGTCATGGGTTTGTTTGTGAAAAAATGCAGGGTAAGAAATATTTGCTTTTTTATTCCTTTCATCTCTATGCCCCACTCTTCTCTTCCATATTTGTTTTATACACTTTGTGACTGTCATTTTCATAGCTAGCAGTGCCAGGTACTTACTTTTTTGAGTTTTACATATATTTACTCACTTAATCTCCACTACCCGAGATTTACGCCTTTTAGTGGGGTTCTAAAGACTACAGAGACTAGTGGGGTTCTAAAGATTACAGAGACCGCTTGAGAGATAACCACATTTATGCATCCATTTTGGACATGTCAAATGGCTTTACTGCTTTGTTCTGGGTCTATGAGTGTATTCAGGTAATGAAAAAGACTTTAAGAAAATGGTATAAAGAGTCAAAGAAATAAACTAACATTTCCTACTTTCTTGGAAACATAAAAATGTGGCTGTGGCTAAATATGGCATGCAGCATGTTTCTAGAGCTGATGATCAGAACCCCGAGTGACTTTTGGTATGAAATACAAAAGCCATACTCTCACACATGGTCAGTGGGGTTGATAATCAGGTTAAATGTACTGCAAATGACCTTGAATAATAAAACTAAAAACAGCTCATATCTCATGCTTTCACCAAGTGCAAGGCTTCCCTGTACCATGCTACCCTAGAACACCACAGTTTGTTTCTGGAGCTGGGTAGGACTCTGCATAGCCTATTGTATATATACTTAGTGGAATATGAATTTTACCTCTTAGCATTGCATGCATGTGAACTCTCTAATGCACTAATCATCATCCCCAGAAACGGAGTTCCACAGAAGCCCTATTTCCTAATTCACAGTTACAACTTAAACATAATACTAGGAACTGAAAGAAGATACCCAGTTATAGCAATAGTATTATGAGAAGAGCAGAGTCTTGTAGGGAAAGAAATATCAATATACCATGAACTTACACACCTATGATATACCTGGCACTGTGCCTTGGCTTCCTAAGCAATAAGGCATAAAAGCTTCCCAACAATGCTAGGAAGTAGGTAAAAGTCTTCCCATTTTACAGATAAGAACCTTGAGGCTTAGGAAAAGTAAAAAATATATTCAAAGTCTCTCAGTTAAAGACAATGATCTATTTTATGACCTTGATGTTGATCTCTTCTTTAAATATACTACTCTCTGACCATTTTCTCTTTGATAATTTTGGGACTAACAATGTAAATGTTCTTTTGGACATAGTATAAAGTAGCTGTGGTTGAGAGCATAGGCACTGGAGTTCACGCCCCACCTGGGTTCCTTCCCCACCTCTGTAAATAACTACCAGTGAAGTTTCTTATCTTCTCCAAACTTGATTTCCACATCTATCAAGTGAGATAATTACTATCTCACAGACTCTATGTATATACAATGCTTAGCAAGTTGCTAGCATATTAACAAAAGATAGTTTCTACTATTATTTCCAAAAAATATTATTCAACTACATAAATTCTTTTTAAAAAAAGATTTTATTTATTTATTCATGAGGGACACAGAGAGAGAGAGGCAGAGACACAGGCAGAGGGAGGAACAGGCTCAATGCAGGGAGCCTGATGTGGGACTTGATCCCCGGGACTCCAGGATCACTCCCTGGGCGGAAGGCAGGCACTAAACCACTGAGCCATCCAGGGATCCCCCCAACTACATAAGTTCTTTTTTTTTTTTTACATAAATTCTTGTAGCCTATAGTTAAGTGCCCCAATTCTGATCCACTTCTTTATTTGCCATATAAATATGTGCTTACATTGGACTTAGAGACTAAAGTCTAACACCTGAAAGATAAAGATTTCTAAGTAGCAGGGATACAAGGACAAAGTCAAGACCCCCAATTTGGGACTTGTTTTCAAACATATCTTTCTTTTTCAGGTCAGGGGGTGGCAAAATCATGTTGCTCAAAATCACTTATGCTTTGAAGTTTGATGAAATCAATTACACGTGGAGAATTTTATATGTGTGAAAATACAGATATATAATGTAATGGGGAAAATAGTTAAATTGGTATTTAGTTCACATCTATGAAAATTTCAGTTAATTTAATTTACTAATTATTATTTTTAAAAATCTACTATGGTATTGTACTGGGTTTTAAAAAAAATAACCTTAGGCTTGGTACACAGGCTGGCAAACAGACCTCTAATAAAGAATAAACAGGTATAAAAGTGTACTCCACCACAATTTAGTTGGTAAATAGGTTAATTTCACTTTGGTTTTACAATATGCACTACTATTATTTTGAGGTCACATTTTCAGGTAAAAGTCATATTCCCATTTTGCCATTTTCACTTGGCATAAAGAACCTACATTTACTGAGCACCTGCTATGTTCCAAGGCACTATGTTCCAAGTACTGAGTTTCAGTAAGTACCCTATGTGGTTATCTCTGAATTCTACACACACCTTACTAAGGAAGGCCTTACTTATCTCTTACAGAACATAAATTTGAGGTTTGGAGGGATTATTTATATTCCCAAGGTGATTTAGCCTTATATAGTCAGGACTGGGATTGATTCCCAAGTCTTCTGACCTACCCACACCTCATCGTGCTCAAGTGTGATACATTCCAAATGTAATAAAACCAACAAACAAGGAAATACCTCAGACACTTTGGATCAAACAGTTCAGAAATACTTACCTTGTTTTTCTGTTTTAGGTTTCCCAAATTTAGCCTATCCTAATACATACTATAGTTAGAACAAAAAGGCAAGTGCACATATTAAAGAGGAAATGTCTTGGATGTAAAAACACGAGTTTGGCTGTCATATAATCTGTCACTCATGAGAAAGAAAGCACCAGTGATCATGTCTGGGAAAATCTTGCCTTTTAATTTGTAAATCTTGACTCTGACAGGTGACATATTAATAGTAAGTCATTAAGGAACTGTGTGTATTTTAATTGTTTATTAATGTAATCTTTAAACTTTTTAGAATTTATACATGTAAACATTAAACATGATAGCAACTATCATGCAATCTCAAATGTAATAAAGGGTGGCATCTGAGAATATGCGCTTGTAAAATTATGTTTGCAACACAGTATATAACTACATAATATATGTCAATATTCCTTAATATTAAGATCACCCAGAGCTGAGTGTGTTAGGCTGGGTGTAGCTAGTGGAATAAAACCCACCTAAGGAGATCAGTTCCATCAAAAAGTGGTCAGTTTAAAAAGGTGCAGTCAAAAATAGAAAATCTGCAAATGGTTAGCTATATGTGTATACTTTTAAAAACACTCATGCATTAAAAATTTCCTAAGTGTTCTCATTCTTAAGCATCACCTATGCTTTCAGGTATTATCCTCATTTCAAAATAGTTCTGGGAAGGAAAACTCTGATGCTAACCACAGTAGGGATCATTATGACAGGGATCCAGGCTAAGCTTTGCCTCTTCCTTTCTCAATCAGATGCTAAAAATAATTTTTTAAAATTAATTTTTGTTGTTGTTCTTGTTCTAGATACCTCTGGACACACTGTAAACACATCTGATATGTACCCAGTCCCTGATACCTTGGAATATGGAAACAGAACTTATAAAATAATTAATGCAAATATGACTTGGTATACAGCAATAAAAACCTGCCTAATGCACGGAGCAGAACTGGCCAGCATTACAGATCAGTATCACCAGTCCTTCCTCACGGTTATCCTCAACCGGCTAGGACATGCCCACTGGATTGGACTGTTCACTGCAGATGTAGGTATCTTAAATCCCTTGGAACATCCCTGAATAAGTAAATTTCAAATCTGCCTCCTTAGTGATATGGCCAGTGAATTAACACAAAAAAAATTCCCAGAAATAATAGTAAATGTAACATTTAAGTAATTGGTTTATAGAATAACTACTGACCGACCTCATGAAGAGCCTATGACTACAAATTAAAGGCATACACCTTTTAAAAGAATACATCCCCTTGCCTAATTTCTGAGAATTAATGCCCTTCAAAGCTTCTCTGAAAATTTCTGAGTATCTGCCTCCTGTGGGCAATGGAACACATCTTAAACTCAAGCACCTGCATTTGAGTAATTCGTTGCATTTAAGAAATCCCCAAGAGAAGTGGATCGTACTTCCTGCCTAGAAATGTGGTTATTATTTTTTTTTATTTTTATTTATTTATTCATGAGAGACAGAGAGAGGCAGAGAGAGAAGCAGGCTCCCTGCGAGGAGCCCGATGTGGGACTCGATCCAGGGACTCCAGGATCACTCCCTGGGCTGAAGGCAGACGCTCAACCACTGAGCCACCCAGGCATCCTGAAATGCGGTTATTAATTCAGTACCTCCTTGGAATTTAACACATGGGTTTTCTGTCTAGGGATGTATTTTGGAGAGAAAGATTTTTTTAATTTTCTCTTTTTTTAAATAACAGTATTATACGCTCAAAGTAGTGAAAAGTAAAATCTATTTTACCCCAACCTCTGGTTCTACTCCCCAAGGATAATCACTGTAAACAGTTTCTGGAGCATCATTTAGAAATTTTCTAGATATGCACATATATACACATAATGCATATGTTTATTTTTTTAAGTACAAATGAAGTCACATTACATGTGCTGTCCTTAAATTTGCTTTTTGTTTAACATACCTTATACAGCTTTCCATGTCAGCACATAAAAATTTAACACATTCTTTGGGACAGCACCACATGGGATATACCATTACCATTCTCCCCTGAATAGAAATTTGGGCTCTTCCCAGTTTTTCACAACTATAAGTAATACAAACAAACAACTTTGTGCAAGTTGAATAAATTCCTAGAAATGAAATTGCTAAGCACGCTTTAAATTTTTAAGAAATAGTGCCATAATGCCTGCCAAAAGTTTGTACTGATTTACATGCCAACAACTATGATAACATGTTGTTGTTTTTTTCACATCCTTATCAATACTAGGTATTATCAAAATTTAATCTTGCCATTGGGATATGGGAGGGAATGGTATTTTATAATTGTTTATTGTATTTTTGCATATCAGAATGTTTTAATTTGCTGTAGTCAATTTTGCATTATGGCCTCTGTATTTTGTATCCTACTTGAAAAGATTTCTCCACACCAAGAGGATAAGATATTCAGCCAAGTTTTCTTTAGCACTTTTATGTTTTCAATTTTATGTGTGAATCTTTGATCAATCTGAAATTTGTTTTGGTGTAAAGAACAAGATACTGATCAACTTTTCTCTGATCTCTTACTGGGAAATTATTGTGGCAAACAACCAAGGATTCCCAAAAACTAAAAAAGGTACCGTTGTGATAGATATTTCTTTTTGTCAGGCCATATTCACAAGCTGTCCTAGACCCTCCCCCTGAAAAATAAGTCTAGATGTGGAAATATAAATGTATGTGTCAAGTAAGGGCTGCTCAAACAGCATTGGGTAATGCCACCAGAAGTCCTAGCAAGGAAATAATGGCCCAATTTCCCTCCACAGAATGGTCTTAATTTTGACTGGTCAGATGGAACCAAATCTTCCTTCACTTTTTGGAAAGATGATGAGTCCTCCATCTTGGGTGACTGTGTTTTTGCTGACACCAGTGGACGCTGGAGCAGCACAGCCTGCGAGTCATTTCTGCAAGGAGCAATTTGTCATGTACCTTCTGGTAGGTTCCATTCTATTCAACCCAACAAATATGTACTGGAAACCTACTGTGTGCAAAGCACCGTGCTAAGCAGGAGCTATGAGTAAGAGTAATAAGAAGTATCTGCCCCCAAGAAGCCTCTGGTCTGGTATGTGATGTTCAGACAAATGAGCTGTTATACCAGGCAGGGCTACCAAATGATGGAAAAGTAGCAAGTGTCATGGGGGTTAGCAAGAAAGAGAACACATCATTTCCACTTGAGCATAAGTAGAAAGACTTCTTGAAGGACATGACCGTGGAGACTTGCCTTGAAGAATAGGTGGAATATAGTCAACTGTGATGGGACACATGGGGAGGCATTCTGAGCAGAAAACTTTGTACAAAGACATGAAAGGAAAAAAGGATTGGACATGTATAAAGCAAAGCTCATGTTGAGATTTGCCTGCATGGCAGGGTACCAGTAAAGAGGTGGGAAATTAGGCTAGAAACCTGCATTTAGAGCATGTATGAAGGAAAAACTAATTCTTCTAAAACACCATAGAAGTTATCCTTCCCTTTTCAATAGCATTGCATTTACTGAGTGCTTAAGAAGTGTCAGATACTAGTTCATTTAAATTTATTGTGTAGGGGGATCCCTGGGTGGCGCAGCGGTTTGGCGCCTGCCTTTGGCTCAGGGCGTGATCCTGGAGACCCGGGATCAAATCCCACATCGGGCTCCCGGTGCATGGAGCCTGCTTATGTCTCTGCCTCTCTCTCTCTCTCTCTCTCTCTCTCTCTCTCTCTCTGTGTGTGTGTGTGTGACTATCATAAATAAATTTAAAAAAAATTAAATTTATTGTGTAGGGGCACAGTCAGTAGAGCATACAACTCTTAATCTCAAAGTCAGGAGTTTGAATCCCATGTTGGAGGCAGAGATTACTTAGAAGAAAAAAAATTTAGGGGCACCTAAGTGGCTCAGTTGGTTACGCATCTGCCTTTTGTTCAGGTCATGATCTCACAGTTCCAGGATCTAGCCTCACATCAGGCTCCCTGCTCAGTGGGGAATCTGCTTCTCCCTCTCCCTCTGCCCCTCTCCACTGCTCATGCTCTATCTCTCTCTCTCATTCTCTCTCAGATAATTAAATCTTTAAAAAAAATTTAATAAACTTCTCATGTAAGAAAGATGTTGTTAGCTGTCTTTTTATAGATAAAGAAACCGAAGTGTGAGGAAGATAGGTAACATGTCTACAGCCATACATATGTAGGATCTCAGCATGGATTTGACTCTCATGCTTGACCTTTAAAGCAAAGTCCACCTGAAATTTCCCTTAGTTATATATTATGTTATGTTATGCTATGTTACTTTACTGAATGCATGTTTTTCTCTCATAGGTTGATTGGCAAGTAAGGATTTACTAAAACTATAATATACAGCACTGCACAGAACACATTTTGTACATTTGGAAGTGCCTCTTGCCTACTTCATTCAGCTTCCAGTATTTCCACGAATCACATCCCCAAATTTTTCCACCCTTTAGGATACCAATTACAAACATAAAAGACAGCTACCCTCACCCAAGCAGCACCCAAACTAAACCTAAGGAGCAATGCATTAATATCTCCTGGTATGTTAGGTAAAGATTATTTCTGCCAGAAAGTTTACAAAACAATCTTGGTTTTATGATCATTTATAGTAAACCCACTCTTTCAGAGTATTATCATGAAAATCTCATTACACATATTTATCTTAGTCTGTCATAGAATTTAATGCAATGTATATCTTAATAAATGAACCCAGTCACCATCCTAAAATCATAACTGATTTTTGTTCATAGAAACAAAACAATTTGGACATCCAGAGTTGTGCTCAGAAACATCAATTCCCTGGATAAAATTCAAAAGTAATTGCTACAGTTTTTCTACAGTCCTAGACAGTATGAGTTTTGAGGCTGCTCATGAATTTTGCAAAAAGGAAGGTAATTCTTTTTGTGATGGTAAAATGCTTTCAATGCATTCCTTCTTGACATTTCAGTAAACAATGTGGTTTTCTTCATTTGTCTGATTATTTAGTGGCTTTAGGAGTAACAAAAAAAAATTGAAAAAATATTCAATATAACTATTGAATTTGCTTGTTTGGAGTTGGTTTATCTATGAAATTCGATGTCCAGGATAGAATATGAAAACCTAAGATGATGTCTCAGAATACTACACTTTCCCAAGAAAATGTTCATTTTGAATGCATTTGAATATAAATTTTTAAAGTTCCCTAAAATGAATATTCTATATGCTTGGACTTCTTAAGTACAACCTTGTATCTTTTAATAAATGTGGTATAACTTTTAAATTTTTAATAAAAAATCACTTAATTTACAGTAGAAATTTTCACTCTGCAAAGACTGAGCTTTACAAATTTTGGTATAGGAGACATTTTTTAAATTGTATTTCACATAAACACAAATACTTGTTTATTTACTGCTTATCTCTTTTATAGGATCTAATCTTTTAACAATCAAGGATGAGGATGAAAATTCATTTCTCCTAGAAGAGCTTTTTGCTTTTGGTTCTTCTGTCCAGATGATTTGGTTGAATGCTCAGTTTGATGGTGACAGTAAGTAAGATTTGGGTAGAGAAGAGGAAAGGGCATAAATAAATACATGGTGGTCAAGGTTGATGAAAAAGGCATCTTCAAACCAGAAGGCTCTTCTTGGATACATTCGCTGTGAAAAAATAGCATGAATCCTAAAGCCATTTCTTCCAAGACAATATTGCTAACCCTTTTCTATACCCTTGTGTCCTTTGAAATAATCTCAGAATACCAAAAATGAAAACAAGCAAACAACAAGCTTATCTTATAATTACTCTCACATCATGAAGATTCTTGGATGGAAATTTGTGTTCACAGACTTAGTCATAGACAACAAAACCCTGTTTATTTAAAAATACTCAGATTATTCCTCAATGTTATAAAAGCACAACAGAATTATAGAAATGTTTCGATGATATATTGTGCTGTCAGAATTATTTGCTTTTCATAAAAACCAGAGTTTGTGATCAAATGACAGCATGTTATTCTTCCATGTAATTGATGGTTATTGAAAGTATTTATAAAGAAAATTCTCTTAATTGGTACGGAGAACTTATTATAGGGATATACCAAGGTGGAGGGTGGGTCCACTCTAATAAGGAGTGTTTCAATCACAGACATTGTTTAGAATTTCTAGCCCATTGTGATATAAAAGGTGACTGACTTTTAGTTACTTTTATTGTTGGTTTTAAATACTAGCCGACAATGTCCCCCTATTATTGCTTGCACATGGATCGGCTCTATAATTGCCTCCACCTCTCAGTACACCAGTGGCTTGCTTTTTAAAGAAATTAGTTGTAAAGTTATTTTAGAAAGTGAGCCATTTTGCAATAATACAGATGTTAGGACTTAAAATGATTCCTTTAAATTGATTATAATGATAGGGAATATTTCAAAATTCAAACTGTTACATTAAGGAAGATGGTATTCTAAATGAACTAAATCAGAAAAATATATCTATAATAAACAGAGAGCCATTCACAAGGCAAGTTTACTAATACCCACCTTTTGATGTTGTATTCATGACTGTACCCCTTGAATTGCATGCATCAGATAAGAACACAGCCTCATTGAATTCAGGAGCTGCCTTTTATGGTTCATTCCAGTCTTAGTATATTTGACAATTATACATATAATTCATAGTAAGTCAGCATTTTCACCACAGATAAAACCATAAAGTGGTTTGATGGAACTCCCACAGACCAGTCAAACTGGGGCATTCGGAAGCCAGAGATGGACCATGTCAAACCCCATCTGTGTATTGCCCTGAGGATCTCAGAAGGAGTGTGGCAGTTATCCCCATGTCAAGAAAAAAAAGGATTTATATGCAAAATGGAAGCAGGTGGGTAAAGCCAGAGGGTAATTCCTCATTTTGATTCTACCCTGACTAATGTTGACCCACCTTTAGCATTTATAGCTTTGAAAATTCAAGTATTCAGGGAGTATTCTGATAAATTCTAACATTATCATCTTGTTCAACATCAAACAAGTCAGACATTTCAGCTCCTTCTTTCTCTGATATGAAGAAAAAATCATTATAAAGCCTATGACTTTCCTGTGTCATCCTAGCTGTTAATGGGCAAAAAAGCAGTTTAACCTAAAAAAAAAAAAAATGGAAGTAGCGATGTTACCCAGCAACCCTTATACTGGCAACTGCTACTCAGAAATTTTAAGGTTCATCTTTGGTCCCAGGAAATATAATCTAGGCCTAGGTATTCTTGCTTGATAACTGGATGAGATTCTCTGTTGCTAGCCATTATATTATAAAAGTCATACTTTAACTTCATCTTGAACTGCATGCTTTGTGGTGATAAAAAGAAATAATAATTCTAGAAATCTAAGCCAGAAAAATTTTAGTCAGCTGCAAACAATACAGAAATTTCTAAGATAGGATGTTAGCAATTATCATTAACTGGAAATGTGTTTTTAATAAATAATCACAACATTTCTAGATGCCAGTATTGCAGAGAAGGAGGAAGTGGTGTGGCCTCCACTGCTGCTGAAGGCTTCTGAGAGGAGATAAGGTTTTGGAATCCCAAAAGATAAGAAGAATAGAGAAGGGAAGGCATATGAGACAAAAATCCAGTATGACTACACGCAGCAACTGAGAATAGTTTAGATTAGAGTGAAGGGTTCACATTAGGTGGTGATGGGAATAAAATTGGACTGTAATGTAGGATCCATTCAGAGAGTACCTGTGTAAAGAGCTGAACTTCATGGTGAAGAAGACAAAGAACCCCTATGTGCTCTATAAACAACTGCAGGGGAATCACACTAATCCAAGGGAGGCAGTTGTAATTTGAGTGATAGAGGTAGGAACTAGGAACATGAGGAAGAGTAAAAATAGGAAAAGAGAATCAGCAGGCTTTGGTGATCCAATTACACACTGGGTAGGAATGAAGGAGAAAAACCTGATAGGTGTCATCACCAACATTGAAGCTCCCAATGGCGTGGATAGCAGTCCTGTGTGGAAAACATGACTAAGCCTAATAAGTAGTGTACCCAAGTGATCAATAGCATTTCATTTCAAAAACAAATCAGAAATACCTCATATGTGTACAGGACTTTAAAGGTTCCTATAATATAGAGGGCACCTCTTTCATCACTCACAGCAACTTCCAAAAGCAATGCAGCAGATATATTCCCATTTTACAGATGAGAAAAGCACTTGTCCAAACTGAGGCCACATCAAGAACCATTCCCCAAATTGTCTGGCTCTATATGCTTCTTGTGTATCTGCCCACTGCATGCATCCAGACAATAAATATTCTTTTAATAGTCTCTCTTTAAAAAGTATCTTCACACGCACATAATATATGGTCCCATGTTTAAGTGTGCAACAGTGAAAGGGCATAAGAACTACATCGAGGCACTTCCTCCACTCCCAAACTCTTTACTGAACTTCCTCTGAGTCATTCTCTACATATTTTTCTGGATCTTTACTGATCTAGGTCAAAAATAGCAGAGTTCAAATTTTGAGTTAGAATCTACTTGAAAGAGATACATTTCTATAGTAGAAAGTCCTCAAACAGGAATCCTCCAATTTTTTTTTAATTTTTTTTTGTTTTTTATTTATTTATGATAGGCACACACAGAGAGAGAGAGAGAGAGAGAGAGAGAGAGAGAGAGAGAGAGAGGCAGAGACACAGGCAGAGGGAGAAGCAGGCTCCATGCACCGGGAGCCCGACGCGGGACTCGATCCCGGGTCTCCAGGATCGCGCCCTGGGCCAAAGGCAGGCGCCAAACCGCTGCGCCACCCAGGGATCCCCGGAATCCTCCAATTTTTTGAATGGAGGAGCTTTTATTCATTTCCCAAGATTCTGAGATTGCAAAGTTGAGAAGGTGCTGATTTTAAAATCCCCACATCGAGTAAAGAGATTATCATTGCTGGACAAACTCCATCTCAGAGCTTAACAAAACTTAGTTCCGTGCAGGCAGAGACTATATTTTATTCATATTTTTATTGCAGCACAGTGCTGAGACTGGATAGAAATTTTTCAGCTTAAAAAAAAAAGCAGTGTATGTGTTTGTGAGCAACAATAACGATTACAATAAATCAGGGGTCAGCAAAATTTTCTTGTAAAGGACCAGACAGTAAATATTTTAGGCTTTGGGAACCATACAGTCTCTGTCACGCTGCCATTGTGGCATGAAAGCAGCCACAGACAATACATAAACAGATGAGTGTGGCTGAATTCCAGTAAAACAGTAGTTATAAAAACAGGCACCAGATCTGATCCATGAGCCATAGTTTGCTGAGCCCTGCTGTAAATAATAACATAATTTTGCTGAATTAAAAGAAAATTTTCATCGCAGTTTTTTTTTTTTTTTTGAATTTGGTTTTAGGTCTTCATGCAGTAAAGGAGCACTCAGGAAAAGGTAGGTTTGAACAGTAGAAAACATTTTGATTTCTCTTAGAAATAATAAAATAGGAAGTAGCTATATAACAATATCTATCTTAACTTGTTGTCATTGAGCTTTTCCTTTTTTTCACCTTCTTTCAGGACCAAGTCATAGTATGGTGCCTCTTGCAGTAGCACTGACATTGATAGTAATCCTGGCACTTTCCACCCTTTCCTTCTGCATATACAAGCACAATAGAGGTATCTTCAGTAGACTTGCACCGTTCGGGAATCCTTACTACCCCACAACCAACTTCAGTACAGTACATTTGGAAGAAAATATTCTCATTTCTGATCTTGAGAAGAATGATCCATAACAATGAACTCAGAGAACGCCACTGCCATAAAGATAAGTAAAGCCTTAAGTGGAGTCTCCCCTGCATTTTCCTTTACAGACTAGATGCCATTATAATGTGAATTGTATTATTTTAATTATTCTTAAACTGATTACTGGTTTTGAACAGTAACCAAATCGTAGAGGTGTTGATTTGTTCATTTCCCCAAACTGTGATCTATTCTTAAAATGGGGAAATTGTACAATGGTTACTAGTCAGAAAACAAGAACTAGTAAAGGTAACTCCCTATTGAAGACTCTTGAACTAATGTGAATAATAGGTTTTGTATTAATATATTTCTACTGAAATTTTAAAAGATTTTTCAAACTAATCTGATAACTATTCAGACATTTGCCCATACCTAATCCATTAAAAAAGGGAGAAAGCAAAACAAACTTTTAAACTCTATACTTGTATGCAAGATGAAAAGTTAAAGACTTCTGAGAGGTTTCTTGTTTGTTTTTTAATTCAATCATTTTAAAAACCGTATTTAGAAAACTAATTTCTAAGCTGAAAACTCACACATTCCAGGCTCTAAACCAATATTTAAGTTGATATTTATTTTTATTAGTTCTGACTTCTGAAATTAAAAAAGAAAAATTACCTGTCTTTACGTAGGAAAGATATTGGTTAGTACACTTGCATAAGCAACCATGTAATATGGCCTAAAACCTTCAATTACTAAATAATGACTATGTTTGATATTTTAAAATATAGATAAGCTTAAAAGAATTCATTAAAGTCATACTATTGTTAAAATTCATGGCCTTTCTTAAAACTAAAGGTATAAAGTAATATATAACTCTCCTGACAACTAAAAGATATAAAATTTAATTTGAATTTAAAGGGGAAAAATGAAGATCTGAACTACAGTACCATTAGAACCACACTAGAGGATATATGGAGAAGTAGTAAATAAATGACTCTCCAGTCATAATCTAGATACCTTTGCTATATAAATGAGTTTATATGGGGTATTCAATTTAATAAACTGTCGTTCTTAAGAACTTGTTAATGCAGTTGGTAAATATGAATAATAGCATAACACTGTCTATAAATTAAATACTGCATATTTGACTTTCTTTCAAAATTTCTTATATGGAAAAGTGACTTCATAATCAACATTTTAAAGTTTACTCATTACATAAATATTCATTGTGCTCGCTTTGGCAGCACGTTTACATAAATGTTCATTGTATTCCTATTAAGAACCAAGTGCTGTTCTAGAAACTGGGTGTATTGAGGTGAGGAAATTAATGAGAACTCTTGTTTTTATGTCACTTATTTTCTAATGAGAGAAAAGTGAGAGCAATCCAGTAAAGATATTCATAAGTAGAAAACACCAGGTGGTTATGAAAATTAAGTAAGGTCTTGTGATAGAGAGGAACCAGGGGAATCTCCAGGCCTCCCTAGGGTGTGCATTATTACATCCATCTGCCTTGAAATTAGTGGCCACTAGTCACAAGGTGGAGCTCTGGGAGAAAGTATGAGTGAATTTCTAAGTGGAAAGCCATCATCATTAGAAATAGAATTTGATGAGCATGGAGTCCTTGTAGCCTGAAACAGTTAATATAGCTTCTAAAAGAGGCTCCTTGCTACTGGTGTGTAGCTTCCACACTAGGACGATCTACTTCCATAATTTTGATATTTCATTTTTTAAAAGATATTATATTATGCAGCAGTTGTATATTTATAACTCACAAGAATAATTGGCTTGAACTAACCGGGTATAAAAGCCCAATTTAACAATCTGTCAAGTGAAATTAAAGTTCTGTTCTTTTTAGTGTACCTGGTAAAAACTGCTAATCAATTATCCTTCTAGTCAAAGTATATCGAAGTAGAATAGTCACACATAACAATTTGACCAAGTCTGTCATTAATAAAGTGGTTTTGCAGAAAGAAACTGCACTGTTTGTCAATGCTCTGTACTTTGCTATTTAGTATTGAACTACATCTCTGGGGAATCTGTCCCCATGGACAAGATCATGCACTCCTTCTCATTATTTAAATTTCAGAAATAAAAAGTACTGAAATATTATGTTTTATTTATATAGCGCACTTCAAAGAGCTTTTTCCACATCTATTTTTAATCTGAACTAGATTCCATAGCTATAGCATGAAAAGCAAAAAGGCATCAGGGTCACAAACTCATTCACACATAATTAATGTTCCCCTTTCCAAAAAATCAATTATTATCCCTGACTCCGGGTAATGGAAAATCTTGGATTTTATTTATTTTTTTTAAATCTTGGATTTTACAATTAAAGGTATCTTGAGCTCTTCCAATTCCAACAGTCTTCTTTCAGTTTAAATGCTTCTCCAATAGAAAGTTCCTCTTCCTATCAAGGGTGGATTAGATGGTCTCTTTAGGTAAACAGTCTTTTGGAGTTTTCTTTTCCTCCTCAAAATGGTGTTGGATATATGAGAACTTGTGTCTTTGTAATACTGGGGGGAGAAAGTGATAAGTGACTGTAAATGTGTGTTATCTGTGTCCACTGAGGTTAGTTGTCTGGCCCTATTCCTGGGAACTTTGCTGGCCTCAGCTATGAAGCCTATAGTTGGTGAGAGTCTATTGTCTTTGATTTGCTCCATTCTGGCTCTCCCTGGTACTGCCTTATCCCCAATATATTGGCTATGACTCCCATTCAATTCTCTACCTGAACACTGCAGTTATACACAAGGCCACTTCACTTCTGCAATAGTGAGACCTATCTAGTACCATCAGTTACTCTACGAGGGAGTACTAAATCCTGTAGCAAACAGTCCACAAATCTCAGTGGCTTAACACAGCAAAGGTTTATTTCTCATCAACAATGGGTTTGCAAAAGGAGCTTGCATTCATGGGTCCAGGCATCTCCTATATAGTAAGACCTCTAACTTATAGGGCCTTGGAGTCTTCCAATGGGTCTCCTACCTCTGCCTCACAGAAGTTAACTTGAAATCTATCTTTGATTAAGACTATTGATTATTGAAATACATTCTTTAAGTTAAGAGTCATCATACTAAGAACACATACCCTGAAGGTACATAAAGATTTTCAAGGGACACAGAGACATGGATATTTTTAAGGAACTCAGTTTCCAGAATCTTTAACCTTTATATATATTCTTTCTTAGAATTAACCTTCATGAGAACACATGTGAGATCATAGTGTCATGCTGATTCTTCTTTTCCACCTCTCTTGTACAAATGCCCATCACTACCGTAAACAAAAACAAAAACAACTCATGGCTTTCACTCCAAATCTTGCTATGATGCTTTATCTTGGGAAAATTCTCCACCAAACAAAGGGAAAAAATTCAAAGTCATGATGTCAATGAAGATTCTTTTAATAAAGGAATTCTAAAACCAGTGTAGAGCCTGATGTCTTCCCCTATGTTCATAGATTTTTCTGTGAAGGATGAAGTGATGAGTGAGAAATTCCATGTTGGGCTATTTTAAGTTAATATGCATTAAACAGTGGAACATAAAGAATGATAACTACTTTTATTTTAAGACTTTTTAGCTCATGCAGCCCCTAATTTTTTGTCAGAGAAGGTTTTTCTGTAGAGAAATTTCTGATGAAAGCAGAAGTGTAGATATTGTTAAGAACCTGACATCTTACCTTATCCTGATGAAAAGCTTATGACAAAGCTCTGTGCTTAATCTGTCTTAGATTTCTAAGTGACGCTGAGTATTAACATGCTCATTAAACTGAAAAATGGGCAGCCCCAGTGGCACAGCAGTTTGGCGCCGCCTTCAGCCCTGGGTGTGATCCTGGAGACCTGGGATCAAGTCCCACATCAGGTTCCCTGCATGGAGCCTGCTCTCTCCCTCTCCCTCTGCCTGTGTCTCTGCCTCTCTCTCTCTCTGTCATGAATAAATAAATAAAAGCTTTTCAAAAATTTAAATAAAATAAAATAAACTGAAAAATGGAATCAGATATTTTTCTGAACATTTATTTGTCTTATTTGGCTCAGGGATTTGACAATGAAGATTGGCCTTACCTATTAAGTTTTATGATGAATATTTTTCATTAACTGAATAAACTAAATTGGTAACTCTAGTGTTATGATTAAAGCACTTTTTAAGATAAAGATATTTTAATAGAAAAATAGTATTGACAAAACTATAATGATATTATCAATATATCATTTTTCCCAACCTAACTTTGTATATCAGATAGAACAAGAGGTGCCTATGGGTGAAAGAGTAACAGTCATTGGAAAAGTCTTCCTAAAGTCTGTTAATTTTACTTCTAGAAAATCGACAATGTGAATCACTCTAATGACTGGGTAACAAATCCTTTTGCAACTTGACTGTTTCCAGTTCTTAGCTTTAAGCAAAACTCAAAAGGACATAATCAAATTATCCATTGACAGATGACAAAAGTGTTTTTAAATGTAGAATCACTGTGATTTTGGGCACAAATGAGAAAACCATTCAAATAATGAAATTATATCCCTATAACAAATCCCCTTTCATTCCTACCTATTTATTTATATGAAGAAAGTGTTTATATTAGCCAGGATAGGTTAGAGCATGCTATGAAAAGAAATAAACCTTCTAATGTTAATGGTTCAAAATAAAACTCAAAAATTAAAATTTTTGGTCATGCAAAGCCTACTATGGTTCCATGGTTTATGGTTCTCCAGGGAAGTTCACATCCAAGCAATAATTCATAGATCCAGTCTGCATGTTCCTACCTCAGGAATATGGGGCTTTCAGTGATACTATAACAGGAAAAAAGTAGAGAAATCTTAAGTTTCTGGGTCCTTAAGTGGCACTTTCACTCACATATCATTGGCCAGACCTGTCACATGGTCCAACTTACCTGCAAGAAAGTCTGAGAGGTCTCCCAGTATGCTCAGGAAGAAGAGGATAGCCAACTACAAAGAGCCCGGCAATCTCCATCAGAGTTTCTCAGCATGTATAGCTGATATAATAATAAAAATAGAATTCATGCTAAATTCTGACTCATTCTAGCAATTTTAAATTATTATTAGCTAATTTTATCTGTGATCCATCCACTTCATTAAGAGATACACTACCTATAACATTTTAGTTTGATATATTCTAATCATTTATTAACTGTTGTAATATATTTATATTGTTCTGACCAATTGTGTACTAATAAAAATTAAAGTGACAGTTCAATATACAAGATAATGTATAACACTTAGAACCTATGTTGGCAGGGAATTTTATAAATAATTTTAATTTGTATACATATTTTTTTTACTGTAGCTAACATGACAAGGTAATGAATAAAATATTTTCTTTTTCTTTTTAATTTTTTTTATTTATTTATGATAGTCACACAGAGAGAGAGAGAGAGGCAGAGACATAGGCAGAGGGAGAAGCAGGCTCCATGCACCGGGAGCCCGACGTGGGATTCGATCCCGGGTCTCCAGGATCGCGCCCTGGGCCAAAGGCAGGCGCCAAACCGCTGCGCCACCCAGGGATCCCAATAAAATATTTTCAAGATTAAAAATATATACATTAAGATAAAACTCTGTGGGGGGATTGGAATGGAAATACAAGACTAACGAGAAAAACAAAGCAAAATCTCTGACTGCCAAGAGTTTGTGTGTATTTCTATTTTTAAATAGATTATGATGGAATTCAAATTGTTAAGGTATCTCCAATCAAAGGAACTAGGGTCCCATGAAGTGGCTGATTCCGGGTCCGCAACAGGAAAAATGTGAGATGAAAGTAGATTACCTTGTGGTCCCAGAAAGTAAAAAAATGCTCATGAAAATATGAGGTCATGCCCAAGGAACACAGGAACTAACCTGAAGGAGCTCCCAGTGGCCAACATTGGAACAATTTGAGCAAAAAAATATATACATATATATTAAATATATATATGCATATATATTGCTAGTATTGTATTATTACCCATAGAAAAATTATCTATTAGTCCATATTGTTAAAAAATAAACAACTGAATGAATGAATAAATAAACTGAGGAGAAAGAAGCAACAGTTCTTTTCTACAGGAGAATTATAATTAAAAAATGTAAAAGGAATGAGAGAAACAAAAATTACCATTAGGCAAAACACAACAGTAATAATTTATATAGGCAAGATCCAGCAGTGGGTGTTAAAATTAGTGGGTGACCGTTTGAAGAGAAACAGGAAATTTGCATAGTCTTAAAGTATCACCCCCAAGACAGTCACTAATTATAATGGGAAAGTACTAACTTTACAGTAAAAAAACCCCACTTTAACCAAGTGATCAATGCTAGTATAAGCATGATAATCAGCCATATCAGCATCTTGTGTTCCCTGGTATGATGTCCTCCTAAGGGCACGTGACTTCTTTGGCATCTTTTTCAATAAGGAATAATCTTAATTTAATAATAAAAAAACACCAGACAAATCCAAATTGAGGAACATTATACAAAATAACTAGCCACTTCCAAAGTACCCAGATCATAAAAGGAAAGATTAAAGAACTGTCATAAATTAGAGGAAAATAAGAAGACTTGACAAATAAATGCATGGTAGCATCCTGAATTGGATCCCAGAACAGAAAAAGGACATAATGGAAAAACTTGAATTAAAATGAAATTTATAGTTTAGTTAATATAGTATCATACTTGTATTCATTTCTTACTTTTGATGAATATACTAAGGTTATATGAAATGTACCAATACAGCAGGCTGACTGACTGAATGGTACACAGCAATTCTCTATAATATTGGCAACTTTTCTGTAAATCTAAAATCATTCAAAATAAAAAGTGAAAAAATCTGCTATGATATGAAATTCCATTGGATGTATTAACAGAGTGATGTGACACTTTTTTCCAATGCTATTATTTATCATATGCTGAAAATTGCATCCTACTTTAAAAAAATGCTTAGATGTCAACTTGGAAATGTGTGAAGGGATATATATCTTTTCTTTCAAAATTCTTTTAGGAAATATGCAAACACAACCATTTGAGGACCACTACTATTTGACATTTTTTCTCTCCTGACCCAAATGAAAAACAAGCAAAATTCATCTTTTCTTCAATCTAACAGCCCTCCTCCTACTAGAGGTTTGGATTGACACACATCTTACTGTCGGTCGGCCCCATTTATTTGTTTTTGCTCTCTTTTCTCCACACTCTTTCCTGATCCTGTCTTGTTGGGACTCTCATTTTCTTACCCTGCTTATCCACAACAACCTCATGGCTTAGTCTTAATGGCAGATATTTCAAAAATGTTATGTCCATCATAATTCTCCTTGCCAACATTTATAAGACACTGGACTGTAGTGATTATTACAATACATGGTTGGACTCTCCATTCTCTCTTCCTCCACTTCTTAACACAGTGACAAATAGGGGCAAGACCAAATCCAGTCTGGTGCCTGTTTTTGTAAATAAGTTAACAGAACACAGCCATCCTCCTTCATTTTCACACCATGTATGACCACTTCCTGTCTGCAACAAGCAGAGCTTAGTGGTTGTGACACAAACCGAATGGCCCACAAAGTCTACACCACATCTACACCACTTACCATCTGGCCCTTTAGAGGAGAAGTTTGATGACCCTGATCTAAAAAATTAAAAATCTAAAATGGGCAATCCAACATACTTTGATATGTCTTAGTAAGCACTATTATATATATAGGAAGTACTTCAACATAATGATAAGCAGTTCTAATCAGTAAACATTTCTTGAGAGCTTACTATGGCACAGAGACAGTCCTAGGTTCTGGTACTGGAAATATGAATAAAATTGTCTCTGTTCTCATGGGGCTTCAGGGGCAGAGGAATACGTAAATAGTAAGTTCAACATAATGTGGTACAAATAAAAACAGAAGGAACAGAATCAGAAAAAAAAGGACACCAATTAATTCTGTCAGAGAAGGAGGCTTAACATGAAAAATGATGCCTATTAAATAGAAACTTTTAGATAAACCATCTTTCTTTAATATCTTTTTAAGCTGAGAAAAAACTTTTCGGTTTGAGGCTAACAATGAAGAAAAGGTGGATCCAGTTGTCATGATGTAGCTAATTTTTCTGAATCCTCAGAAAAAAGAGTTACAAGAATAGTATACATTACTGCCTTTATACTGTGGCTAAATCCATTTAAAGCCAACTTGTTTATAGTGATTCCAAGCTATTGCAGCAGTGGATTGGAGGAGGCAAGTAAGTATGCATTGCCAATCATACCACATCATTCAAATATTAAGTACTATTCAGTTAAAAAAATAATTACAAATAATTCAGTTTAAAAATCTATAGATCATGTGTTATATGAACAAAGTAATTAATATACTATGGCTCTTTTATAATTTATAGACATAAAAATCATGGCTTACACTAAAAAACTAAAACTTTTATAATTGAACATTAGAAATAAATATTTAAAAGTAATATCTATTTTAGAAATATTGGTTTATGATTTAGCAGTTTATGATTCCTAAAAGCCTGACAAAACTTAGGGCCTCTTGGATTATTTGCAAGAACTTACAGCATTTATAATTTTATATCTGATGCTTACAATTCAATATAAAATGACTGAAAACACAGACTTTTTCATTCTTTATGTTGTAAAACTTGGAGGTACAATGGTTACAAGGTATGTGGTTTTAAAAAAAATAAGCTATATAACCCCTATGTTTATTCCAACGTTATTTACAATAACCAAACTATGGAAACAACCTAAGTGTCCATCACTAGATGAATGCATAAAGAAGATGTGGTATACATACACAATGGACTATTACTCAGCCATAAAAAAGAATAAAAATCTTGCCATTTGCAACAACATGGATGGATCACATAATGCTAAGTGAAGTAAATCAGTCAGAGAAAGATGATTTCACTCATGTGGAATTAAAGAAGCAAAACAAATAAACAATGAAAAAAGAAACAAACCAAAAAAACAGTTGCTTAACTATAGAGAACTAATGGTTACCAGAAGGGAGGTGGGTGGGGGATGGATGCATGTGATCAAGAGTACACTTATCCTGATGAGAACTGAGTAATGAATAGAATTGCTGAATCACTATATTGTATGCCTGAAACTAATGTAACACTGTATATTAACTATGCTGGAATTAAAACTTTTTAAAATACCAAAAAAAAAAACCTCAGCTGTAATATTCAGGCTTACATAAATGGCCAATATTTTAGGTATATTTATAAATATGTCGAACCATATGTTCCATTTAAGTCAATTCCATTACTGTTGCTGCATTTTAAATTTTGAAGAGAGAAATCAACAAATGTGCCTAAATTTGAAATGCTAGATAAAAAATTGAAAATCTACATGCTACATAATGCATAATGAAGAATTGTAATTGCAGAAGAAAATCCATAACTAAAAACCACAAAATGAGTCCCATGTATACCAGTGACCTTCTTTACTCAGAGTTAATTAACACAAGCATTTGCTTCTTGCAGAGCACTTTACTATAATTTAGAACAAATTAGGGAAAAAATCACTCAAGTGCTGTTTTCTTCACACCATGAAGTGAGCATAGTGGGCCAAAGTTAACTCATTTAAAATATTGTCATCCATTTCTTGTAATTATGAGTAGCAATACCCTTCGTTTTTTGCAAAAAAAAAAAAAGACATCTTGATCTATACTATCTTCAGTTTGTTTCTATGCTTCTATTTAATAATGGAAATTGATCTTAAAAACTAATATAAAATGCCCTTTTCAGTCTCTCCAATTAAGTGTCTCATTTATATTAAATTCAAGCATTGTATATTTTCCTTGGCATTCTTCAAATAAATATACTCTGAATTTAATATGGCAAATTATTAAAGGACTACATTAATATTATCTCTTGCCCCTCCCCTAATCCTAAAATTGTGAGTTTATTAATGTTTCCACATGGCATTTTGTGAATTAACTTGAGCTTCTTTAGCCCTAACTTATGAGGTCATGTCCCCAGGTAGTTATTTAAACTTTGGTTTTTACCTTCCCAGAGATCAGAGTTGGTAGGCGATGGAAATCCAATTCAGAGATGTAGGAATCAGTGGCACTCTTGCCCCTGCAGACTTTGAGGAGAGAGTAAGACCCAGAGCCAAAAGGTAGAACCAGGGAAAACTTACTAAAAAGGATTGGAAAAAAAAAAGAAAAATAAAATAAAATAAAATAAAATAAATAAAAAAATAAAAAGGATTGGGAGGAGTGAGAACTGAAAAGGAAGCATTACCTCGCTGTCACCAAGGACTTTGGAGTTCCTGATTCAAAATGCAGTTCTGTGGAGTCCAATGAGCATATTGAAGAGATATATGTACTGCTATGTTTATTGCAGTACTGTTTACAGTAGCCAAATTATGGAAATAGTCCAAGTATCCAATAGATGAATACATAAAGAAGATGTGGTACACACACACACACACACACACACACACACACACACACACACTGGAATATTACTTAGTCATAGAAAAGAACATAAAGAAGTCATAAAAAAGAATGGAAATCTTGCCATTTCCAACAATATAGACAGGTCTAAAGAGTATAATGTTAATTGAAATAAGTCCGTCAGATAATGACAAATACCATATGATTTCACTCATATGTCGAATTTAAGAAACAAAACAAAGCAACAAAGAAAAAAAGACACAGACAAAAAAAAAACAGACTCTTAAATAGAGCACGAACTGATGGATACCAGAAGGGAGATCGGTACAAGGACGGGTGAAAGAGGTGAAGGGGATTAAGAAGAGTACACTTAATCATGATAAGTACTGAATAATGGATAGAATTGTTGAATCACTATATTGTGCACCTGACACTAATACAATACTGTATGTTAATTATACTGGAATTAAATTTTTTTTAAAAAAATGAGCATCTCTGAATATAGTGTATACCCAGGCAATAGGTTCACATAGTCCTTAAGCAAAAGCTCATCTGATTAGGCAAGAAATTGTTTTACTCAAGATGATACCTAAAAGTGCGAAGGAAACCAGTGTCTCGCATGCTGCCCAACAAAGGTTGCATCTTAATGAAGCAGTACCTCCTGGCCACAGGGAAAGATCAGAGAACAGTGACTTTGATACTCTCAGTAGAAACTCCCTGGAGTTGATACTACAACTTAGACTTCCCAAGGGAAGTTTAGAGAGAAAAGAGAAATATTGAGCAAGAAGGCCTACTTGTTTATGCATTGCTTTAGAAGACAATTTGTAATTGAATTGCATATTAAGGGGTGCCTGGGTGGCTCAGTCAGTTAAGCATCCCCACAGAAAGACTGCTTCTCTATCTGCCTATGTCTCTGTCTCTCTTTCTGTGTCTTTCATTAATAAATAAATAAAATCTTTGTAAAAAGTAAAAGAAAATTCTTTTATGAAAACTCAGCTAAAAGCTTTGAGAAGACTCAATACAGGTGAATAGTTAATTCTGTTGTTGACCAAGACAATGACAAATATTGGAGAAGGTTATAAAAATGTAGGGCTTTGCACCCAGATTGGCCTACAGCTATCTTTGAATTTGCACCACACTAAAGACACTGGAAACTGGAGATTGTGGACAAAACCCTACGGGTGTGCTTTATGCATGAGACCAACAGGAAGCCATATGAAAATGAATGATACTGTCCCTGTATCAAAAGACCTGGAGAAGATGTGTGTTTATGTATTCTTATAGAAAATAAAATGTTTGTACCAAGTATGCATCTATTGATTTCTATGATTCCTTGCTCTAACTGATATTTTTGATTCCCTGAGTCCCAACTGAGTTAGATGAGAGTGATGCAGTATGCAGTATGAGTAATAAAAACAATAGGATAATAATGATGGCTGCCATCCATGGAAGTACACTTCTTAACAAATGTACTTTAATATTAAAGTGTAACATTAAATACTTATTAATATTCAAATTTTTAAAAAAGATTTTATTGATTTATTTGCAAGAGTGACAGAGGGCAAGCACAAGCTGGAGCAGAGGAGCAGAAGCAGAGGCAGGGGCAGAGGGAGAAGCAGGCTCCCCACCGAGCTGGGAGCCTGCTGTGGGGCTCAACCTGAGGATCCTGGGATCACAACCTGAGTTAAAGGCAGACGCTCAACCACTGAGTCACTCAGGTGCCCAAAGAATTTTCTTTTTAAACTCATGTTTTATGTTTTTAAATTTAATTAAACTATAAAATTACAATACCTAGTTTGGGATAAATAGATTTGGGAACAAACACAACCAATTCATGTTAAGCCTCTGAGGGTACCAGTGGGAGCAACCACCTTGCCTCCCACTTGAACAGCGATTTAACAGAGGGCTTGGCTAGCCCAGCATGGCAGCAAAGTCATAAGCTGCTTATTCAGTGATTAGTGTTTGAGATTTACAGCAAACACAGAAAGTAAGAATTTCCCTCAGAACTTAACTCTGAAATCCACACAGAATGGATCTGAGCATAAATAAGCAAGTCCTTGCAAGAGAGAATATAGCTTCCCAGGTTACCTGTCTAGATTGTAACTTGATTAAACATGTCTGAGGAAAGAAAGCAAGAAGGTGCTGAGGAAGGGGGTAGGGAGAGGAATCAGTCCTCTGTGGAAGCAGACTCACACACAGATATCCTGGGCAGTTTGGGGGGAAAGGGATTTGGGTATTGGACAATGTGTATTTCTACTTCCAATGGTAAGGCTCCTGGGGCATGGCCAAACAATTTTAGGGGTATAAAGTCATCCCTGGGTAAGATGGACGTCTGTTACTAGATCATTTTACCCCGTGCTATAAGCATAACCTCTTTTATTCCATTTCCATGCCCAAAATCTCTAGTTAGGATTTGGGTCCTCAGTGTAGGTTTGCCTAGTATGGAGAAAATGTCTGATCTCCCAGATTTTGAATACATTAGGTCCTAGAAGATGGGCTGTCTATGATATAAGAAATGGCTTGTGATTATAATTAAATTCCCATGCACCTGAAAGAAGGTGCTCATTCTGCAAGTACTCATCCTATATGTCTAATTGTAAATTAATTCATTGGCGTTGCGATAGCAACTTCAGTCTCCTGTGTGATTGTGTAGGGGCAGTGATGGTTCCAGATTGTCACTGTGGAGATGCTCAAGTGTGGGTGATCTCATTGGGAAGGGGATCTTGGCCCAAGGGACTTGTCCTGGTTCAGTGATGGAAGAACACATGCACAGTGCTTACTTGGATTACATAACAATCCTAAATTGGTATTATAGTCTCTAACTTGGTTTTTGTGGGTGTTTAGTTAGGGGGAGCTAAGGCATGACATTCCCTGGTCTCAAAAAAGAGTGACTTTCTGTGACTTAAAATCAAGAACCAAGTCCTGGGATGCAATTGTGATATTTAAGGTCCAATCCATCTCCACTTAGCATCCATTTTCTGTGATGGCAACTAGGCCTCTTCCCACCATCTCTCATTCTATTTATTTCACCATAGTGTTTGAAGGATCACAGATTAATGTCATGCATCTTGTTTTCTAGATGGGCTTAGAAACATTCTTCAATATGACCACTGAATGCTACATGGCTAATTTGTGTCAAAGTTGGATTCAGAATCTGATCTCATGATTCCAGTTTCCAGTTCTTGTCAGTAGTTTGTGCTGCCTGCGGTTTGATTAACCCCAGAGCACAAGTGCAGATTAGAGGAGTTGAGGGCATGGTAGACAGGGACAACTGAAGAGGCCATGCTACTAGGCCATAAAATCAGACATGGGCAAGTAGGCTTCTCAGCTAACTGAGATGCCTTGGAAGGTGAGACATAGTTGCAATTCTCCTTTGGAATCCAAACAAGTCTTTGGAACAGGGAAGGAACGCCAAGGAGAGCTCTAAAAATGGAGAGATAAGGGGAGCCCAGGTGGCTCAGTGGTTTAGCACCACCTTCAGCCCAGGGCCTGATCCTGGAGACTGGGGATGGAGTCCCATGTCAGGATCCCTGCATGGAGCCTGCTTCTCCCTCTGCCTGTCTCTCTCTCTCTCATGAATAAATAAATAAAATATTTAAAAATAAAATAAAATAAAATAAAATAAAATAAAAATGGAGAGCTAAAGGAAAGGAGTGTAGGAGGGGGAGTTAGGAACCCCAGAGGAGCTCTACAGGTTGCCTGACAAATGATTAAAAGCAAAGTTACCCATTTGTTTTTTGTTTTTTGTTTTTGTTTTTGTTTTTGTTTTTGGATGAATCTTATGAATGACAAGACTTCCTCCTGCAGTCCTGGATAGTAGCAGGATTGGGTTGTTTCTGTTTTGCTCCATATTTCCAAAGACTGATATATTCTTATTAAAAGCTAGTAAACTGCATTCGAAACTGATTAAACATATCAAACAAACAGCTCTGAAAGTCACATAACCCCAGGGAAAAAAAGAAAACTTTGAAAAAGCTGTTATTAGTAATGACTGGAAAGCAAAAGAATGAGAACTGGAAGACCGCTGAGTGTAGATTCTAATAGGTTACACCCATATCAGATATAAATGCGAAGTCTCTTAGCATCAGTTTTGTTCATCTTCTACTTGTTCTAGATATTCCTCCAAATCCACAACCCACCTGTCTTCACCCTTTTATGTACCTCGGCCTGTATCACTTGGACTTCCTTGCCCTCTAGCTTCTGTTGGGTCCAGTTCAATGGAATACTCCAAAAGGAAGTTCAAAGATTAAAACAAAACAAAACAAAACAAAAAAACAGTTCTGGATCTTAATCCTTTTGGCTCTCCCTTAGCTTAATGTAACATAACAGTGGCCACATTCCTCCACTGAGGCCACATTGCCTCATCTCCTCTCCCACAGCTACAGTGTTTTCCAGACCCAGGAACAGCAAAACAGCTTGTTTCTTCAGGCCTCGGGTAGTAACGGCTCCCCGTTGCATGGTGTTCCTGGGTGCTTTACTGTTCCTTGTTGCTTCCTTTAACCTTCCCATACCTTTATAAATAGCTCCTTCATTAAACTCTCTTCAATTCCACATCTCATGTGTCACCCATTTTCCAGAAGGCCTTAATATAGCAAGCTTGCAAACATGGGCCATGCTTTTGATACTGGAGTGGCCCACACTCTAGCAGTCTTTATTCTCCAGCTTTCAATTTCATTTTTGTGTGGAGCTTTTCCAAGACAACAACATAAAATTCCAATTAAGCACATGTTCAGCCTACCAAATTCTAAAA